GGGTGTCCCATGCGGGCATGCCAAAGCTCTTACTGAGTGTCACCACCGGACTATTCCACGCGACAAGCATCTCCTTGCTTATAGTCTAGCATATGTTTTTTCGATTCTGGTACCCGAGACTATAGCTTGATCCTTGTTCCAGATGACACAAGACGAACTTGAGAACTCCACATTCATGCCACGTCCTGCAATCTTGCCGACTGAAAGCAATATTCTATCGAGTCCTGGGATGTACAGGACTTTAACCATACGAATGCCGTTTCCATCCAAACCGGTCAGCTTTACCGTACCGGCTCCTTTGACGATCAACTTCTTGCCGTCTGCAATCGTTGCTTCGATGTTTGTCTCAAGGCCCTTGTATTCGAACAAGTCCTTTATGTGTGGGGTCATGTGGGAGGTTGCACCACTGTCGATTAGCCATCCGGATGATCTTCCTTCGCTTACTGCAAATACCACATCATCACCGCCGTTATGTTTCCCGGCCGGGCATTTCCGCTCCATGTGACCAAACTTGTCACAGTTAAAACACTTGCCCTTAAATCCGCCGTGATTGCGTGGAGCGCCACCTTTCAGACCGTTGACCCGTCCACCTTTGAATCTTCCAGGATTCCCATTCACGCGGAATGCTTTCTCCGTAGCCTCCTTCCTTTGTATCTTTTCTGACTCCTTGAGCAGCTTCTCCTCGACTTCAATCAGCGTAATATCCTTCGCATTTTCAACAATCGACGAAATCTGTTCGTATTCGGAAGGCAGACTGCTGAGAAGTACCACCAGCTGGCGCGACTCATCCACCGGTTCTCCCGTAGTCTGGAGTCCCACTACCAGTTCGTCGAAAGAATCCAGATGTTCCGCCATACTTGTCCCACTCTCCATTTTGAAGTCGTGAAGATGACGCGTCATCGTCACACCATTATGAAGCGTCGAGCGGTTGCAGAAATTGCGGAGCGTTCCCCATGCCTCTATAGCGCGCGTAGCCGATCGAATCTTGGTTTGGTGCTGGATCTCAACCCCTTGAGCGATGATGCCTAGCGCCTTGGCGTCGTTTATCAGCCATGCTTCTGTTACGTCACTCCCATCCTTAAATGTCATGACATAACCTAGGAGACCCTTCCTTGCCAGGGTCATCCTCATGTTGTACTCCCAGTGGTAATAGTTACCACTTCCCGGGAGGACTTCGGTTCGCTTGTTCGCCATAGTAAGCGAGGACGTGGTTTGGAAGGAAGGCTTGGTTGCGGCTGTTAACCTGTTGCAAAGAAGGTAAAAAGCGAAGTGAATATATTGAAGGTCCTTAGTTCACTACTCTTAGCTAAGTCTAAGCCTTAATGTAACGACATCCTGTGATCTCATCATGTAACCGCGATCCATAACCTTCTTCCGTAACCAACACCATGAAACATCCTGACACAGAAATCATCATCATGAACCCAACATGTAACGACTGCATGAAGCGGCGTAATCTCAACATTATCTCGTTATCTTGTGGTGCATATTTATGTTTTTGCAATTATCTGGTGTTTTTCCATTCCACAATCGCCTCTTCGGAGGCCTCGTTGGCATGCCCATTGATCATTCCAGCGTTCTCGGACGTCTACCTGGCGCCATACCGGGGTAGTAGGATGGATGAGATCCATGCTTTGGATCCAGCCTATCAACCTTCGAGCGGGATCACCAACTTCAACGAGATCACAGGCTGCCGATCGGCACATACACATCACTCTGACCTGCTGACGCTAAGTGATGCTATCTTCTAATGGAAGGCTTTGTATATTGTTAGCTAGTCCCGAGAATGAATCACAGTGTCGAACTGCTCGATTGTGTTGTATACCGATGACACAGAAGATGCGGTTGGATGAAAGACATCGGATCGTCCTTCGCAGAAGCGTTCAAGCTCACTCGACATACCCGATGACAAGTAAGATTGAACGGTTCCTGATGCATGGACGAGTACACTACTGACATACACAATCGAGTCAGGTATCTATCTCTTGGGTTCTTCGCACGTACCTTTGAGCGCCTCGCTGAACCGCCGATGAGAATTGACGTGCTCACATAGTTCCTCAATAGCATTATGAAAGGTTGCTTCGACCCTAAACCGAGCACTCGAAGTACGTACCTAGGAGACATGAACAGCCAACAGAAACTTGAAGACGGCAAGCGCATGCGTATGTTACGATCGTGATGCGACTGGTTGTGACAAAATCATCATCAACCCAGTATTGTGTTGGTGGCACTTTGCAGCCGGATTCGCACAAGCAGGACCCGCGATTGCGAGTACGTCACATGTAAGAGCCGTTTTACTGGAGTGCTTCGGTACTCTCAGGCCAAACTTCGACGTTGGGCAACAGCGATACTCCCCGCGTCACCTACCTATCTCAATTGGATCGGTCGTGGCGCGAGATCCCGTTTTGTCTCTGCGTTTCCCTTTCCATTGCGCTACGACTACGACTGGTCAACCGGGTGTCGAGGGCGAATCGTCGGTACTTAGCGCGGTCGTCCTGCGAGGGCGCATGAGGTGATCCGGTTGAAGCAGGCAGCCGACAGGTTGCACTGGTTCTTCGTCACGAGCCCACCGGAGCTTAATTTGACGTCTGCTACTGAGACTTCGAGCTAGACAACCCGTATCCAGCAGCATGGAGCGGTCTTCTACGCGCATCCCAGCCATCATCCATTTCCGCTGAGCGTTCCATTTCACGTCCCAAACGTCTCGCTTCGCAAAGCGATCGAGCAGGGCACTTTCGAGCTACATAAATGTCTGCTCTCGGTACCCCTACGACGCTTCTTGGACCATTTCAAAGAGCTGGTGGAGGTTAAAGCATGGCAGCGGCGGCTGCACATCAGCATCTGTCTCATGTATGGAGTCACGACAATGATCTTTCAGACTTCCAAGTGTGGACGGCGTGCAGGGTCGCCACCAAAAGCTTAATCTATTTCATGCTGGCCGTTCAGCTGACGATAGTTGCTGCGCCCTGACGACCTACGAAGGGATCCCTGAAACGTCGCATCACATCTCTTGGGAGTCCAAAGGCTCGCGCGTGTCGGGACAAGCTTCTCAATCAATGGACGGGGCATTGAATCCTCGACCAGCGTTGACATGCGGCTTTAAAAACTGTGCGAGCCGTTTACCGCCGGCGCTACCATCGCCCGTACGAGACCGATTGCTCGGGCGCTTTCATGACGACGTTGCGGCCGGAGAAAGGATTTGGCGACGAATATGGTTTTCCATGTGCTTTATATGCCACGCGCAGTTACGGGGGGGAGCGCAATGATGCCGTGTATCGAGGCGTCCAAGCCGCGCCGTCGCAAAGCGCACACTGCTTCTGGACGACAGGCATACGTCAACTTCGTGCAATCGCCCTGCGCGAACGTAGAGGATTCGCTACTGGGCTTCAAGGAGCTCGTTTGCACGCTTGTCCCGAATCCTATACCCTCGATCCTAGCGACGATCTGCTACCTCTAGCGAACTACCACGAATCGCCGCCACACCCGGCGCTGTATTCCTGGCTTAGAAGTTTTCAGACATCTTGCACCCAATTCGAATAGGTAATGGACGGTCATGAATCTCTCACATGTACGAGCCGTTTCAGTTTGTGTTGCAAAGTGTCACACAAGACAAGGCGGATCAGGCCGACTCGATATGGAGACGCTTGGCTTTACGAGATCAAAGCCCATGGTAGCTTGAACGCAATGACGCGCTTCATCGCAAGCATCCGGCAAATCGCCTCCTTTTGACGCAGTGCACTTTGACGAAGATATAACAGCGTCATTCGATTGGCAAGAAATGAGTTCTGAATGAGGATGGGTTGGCTGGCCAAGATGCCAGACATCGGAAGCACTGAAACGCGATGTGAATGGACTATGTCAGCACATCAGTCGTCGCGGTCATACAGGTAACACGCTGGTCATCAAAGTAAAGCGAAGCACTACAGCCGCGAATGGATGCGAGCTGACTCGTCTTCGGGTTGATGCAACGACAAGCTGCTGAGTTGGAGAGAGCTACAGCTGCTAAGTTACTGAGAGCTACAGGCTGTTGAGTTGGTGAGAGCTACAGCTGCTGCCATCGAGCTCGACTACGCGTCAAGGATAGAAGCGGGGGTTGCTTGCCAGGCATCAAGTGCTTGTCTCTCTTTGTTGCTACTCTGGAGCCGAATATGACTGGGACGACAAGATGCCGACGGAAAGTCTCTTCGATAGCGGCCTCTATGGCTGCTACCGCAATGTCTCAGCGCGCACTTTGTCAAGATGAGAAGGATGATGCTTTAAAATGAGAGCAAGACGTGCGCTTGTGTCCAAATGATCTCGATCATTTTGAATCAATCGTCCAGTATCCATGAAACGGGACTCACTGTTGCTCTTATCATGTACAAAAGCATCAAAGCGAAGACGCTGACGCTTCTCGAGGCGCTGCACAGCAGCAACGGCCTGTGCCCGCACGCACGATATCAAAGCTCTTGCCGGAAGAAAAGAGTGATATCGTCAGACGTTGAGTAAGCGCGAAATCGCTAGCACGTCTTCACATGATCCTTGTGTCAGGGCCTGCCGTATCCAGCCCTTGTTTACACTGACACTCCGATGAGGAGTTGATGGACGTCATCATGTGCAGTACATCTATCATAAGCACGGCCTTGATCAGCGTCCATGCAATGCGAAGTCTTAATGACACACTGTATATGAAACCACGACCGACGCGCAGGTTGAGCTCTATCTTTCGCTTGGCAGATATTCGACAACAAGTTTTGAGCCGAATTCGTCCCTTCTTTGTCTTTTCCCTCTCTCTAGTGATAGTACTTGGGCATAGTGGCATATATTCCCCAATCAGCCCGTGCACTTCGCGTGACGCCATCCCCTTTTTCGCCAGTTCTCCCTCTTTTGCGCCTATTGGTAGTGTGGACCTCACACCTTCGTAATGGCTCCAGGTACAACGCGTCGAGGGCAAGTGGCGTCCTCCCTCTATATGTGAAAGTGAATGCGCCCAAGCGCTGTGCTGTCTACTGACAGCAGCGATGAATCTGTCTGTAGGAAGTCGCGTCCGCAAAGAGCTCGACGAGTGTCAACGGGACTCGCACTTGTCAGGCGTCGCGGCTATCCCTGTTCACGCCACGTCCCTCTTTGAGCTACGAGGCTCGATCCAAGGCCCAGAAGGCACGCCCTACGAAGGCGGTCAGTTTGACCTCGAGATCTGCATTCCTCCCAAGTAGGAATACTCTCGCTTACGACCTCGTGGACACCGTCGTACTTCTTTTGCTGCTTTTTTGCAGTAGCAGAAGTCGTCGTCGTCGTAGTTGTTGGTGGTGGTGGTGCTGTTGCTGGTGCTGTTGCTGGTGGTGGTGTTGTAGTAGTACTGATCATCAGTCGACATGGATCATATGTACAGGTACCCGTTCGAGCCGCCGCAGATGCGCTTCCTGACCAAAATCTGGCACCCAAACATATCGTCCCAGACGGGCGCTATCTGTCTTGATATTCTCAAGGACGCGTGGTCACCCGCACTGACGATCAAGACGGCACTGTTATCGATCCAAGCGCTCCTTTCAGCAGCTGAACCTACGGACCCGCAAGACGCTGAGGTGGCCAAGATGTATCTCCATGACCAAAAGCAGTTCCTCAACACTGCGCGCTTCTGGACCGAGAGCTACGCCAAGCAGAAAGACACGGGCGACCATGCAGCGCTGTCCCGACTCATTGATATGGGCTTCCCATCGGTATGGACCATTCAATTGTTATCCTCGCTCTGCTGTGGCGGCTCATCCCATCTCGTGTGCCTTTGGACAGGACAAAGCAAAGGCTGCACTGCTCGCAGCAAATGGCGACGAGAATGCTGCGATCGAAAACTTGGTCAGTAGCATGTAGTGCCGTGCTCGCTGCACTCTTTTGATGATTTTTAGCAGAGGAAGCTGGCTCGCAGCACGCACTGGGTACGTATGAGCTTGCCAGTCTTTTGCTCGATACAGGACGCTATTTTTTCTTGGACTTGGACTGCGTTGTGCGACTCGCTGTCTTTGCAGACACTTTTTCGTTCAGTTTCTTCTTGAGCACTTTGCGCTTATCGCTCGTGAGTGTTTTCTTCCGATCGCTGGAAGTCGTTGGGCGCTGGAACTCGGCGCGCTCGAATTTGCGCACAGCGTTTCCGCATCCATGAACTTCAGGCAGGACATGGTCGTAGCAGAACTTCAGTTTGCAGAATTTGCACACGCTGCCAAACATCGTGACACGCTTCTTGCAGCTACTCGCCTTCTCGAAAGCACAGGTCGAGCTCTTGCTTGCTTGTCGAGTAAGATATTCTAGCTCGCCTTCGCCATCTCGTACTTCGTCGATCGTCGCCCTGTTGGCATCGCCTTTTTTCTTCTTGTTCTTCTTCGTACTTTGTGCTGGCGGTGGAACAGCTTGTCGTGTGAGTCGATCCAGATGCAGATCTTTTAACATGGAGTTGGCAGCTTTGAGATCCGTTCCAGCACGCGGACTACTGCGCTTACGCAAACCTGAGCTAACTTTGCCTTCGTCGACATCTTCCTTCAGCCCATCGCTGTTGTGCTCGTCGTCCGAGCTGTCGCTATCGGAGCTCATCATCTGGAAAACGCTCTTACTCACAACCGATTCATCTTCCTTCTCGTCCTCATCCTTCTCCTCCACATCGTCCACGGCATCGAATGCATTTGTCTTTGTTTCGAGTGTCTCCGCTTCATCTTCCGTCTGCTCAACCTTGGCAGACTTCGGCGAAGGAGACAAGGTAGTCTTCACCACTTTCTTATGAGCGACTCTTTTCTTCGACTTGGCGGCTTTCGCAAGATCGAACTTTGCAGCAACATTTGGAGAAGATTCAGTGGCATCCGTACTACACGACTCGCTCGCAAACACCAATGCGCTCTGCAAAGACATCAACTGCTCATCCACTGCGCCTTGAACGACGTCCATCTCCAAGTATTCTTGAGCACTCCGGTACTCACCAAAGTTTTCGAAATGCTGGACTAGAACGGCCAAGAATTTGTGCGACGTGATTGTATCAGTGTCGCACACCACTGCAACATGCCGCTTCGCTCGCGTGATGGCCACATTGATGCGGCGGTCATCGCCCAGGAACCCTACTTGTCTGGAAGCGTTGGAACGGACTAGACTCATCACAACGGCTTCCTTCTCACATCCTTGGAAACCGTCTACCGACCTGACTTCGAGCTTCGGATACTTTTCAAGCAGCAAAGCCTTCAATATATGCACCTGTTTGTTGTATGGCGTGATAACCGCCACCTCGTCCTCCTTCAGGCCAGTCTCTAGCAGGGCTTGAACGTGTCTCGCCACGACGAGGGCCTCACCTTTGTTCGACTTCGACAGCCGAAGAATCTTGTGACTTTCATCTTGATCTTCATCGGCATCCTCTTCAAGTTCACATCCAGCTGTGTCCAAGAGCAGTAGTGTCGCATTCAGCAACTCGTCATCTTCTGCGATGTTGGCATGCGGTAGTTCATGCAGTTTGCGCCTTGCAACGCCGTCAAAGCTTTTCAGCTCTCCTTTGTACATTGCTTGCGAACTCCACTCGCTGATATTCTCGTGCATTCGATACTGTGTATTCAGCATCTTCACAATGCTCTGTGTATGTGAAAAGTGTGTGATCCGGTCGAACAAAGTCACCTCGAGACCTTTTGCTGCTGCGGTCTTTGACTTGATAGTAGGTGGCAGCTGCAAGTGGTCACCGGCGAGCACGCACCGCCTCGCTTTCAAGATGGGAACCCAGCAAGATACTTCAAGCGCCTGCGCTGCCTCGTCAATAATGACCAAGTCAAACGTCACGTCCTTCAACAATGTCGACGCCGCACCGACGTTCGTCGCGAATACCACGTCGCTCTGCCGAACAACGTCACCCACTACTTTCTTCTCCCGTGAGCAAATTTCTTTCCGATTCGCCTTGATCTCTCGTCTCAAGCGAAACCGCACACTCTTGTCCCGTGTCTTGTACAGCTTCGCCTGCAAGTCGCCCATCTCTTTTCGAATGTCGTTCACAATCTCCGTGCCTTCTGCTTGCTGAATCTTTGCGTCCAGACAGTACTTTATAATGTGTGGCAAAACACGTGCAGGGTGGCCTATGCGCGTAAGCCGCAACTGTTTGTGCACTCTCGAGCATGTCTCTGCGAGCTTCGCCAGTACATTATCCACTGCAATATTCGACGGTGCACACACAAGCACCTTTTGATCAAAAGCCGTCACGGCTTGTAAAATCAACTCCACCACTGTCGTCGTCTTGCCTGTGCCAGGAGGTCCATGGATCAGAGCCACGTCTTTGGACGCCAAAGCGAAGCGAATCGCTTCAACTTGAGACTCATTTAGTCCCGCATGGAACGGAGCAATTGCAGGCAATGGGCTCGTCCATTGAGGCTCCCGCTTGGCGAAAATAACGTCCACAACGGCCTGAGCAGCTTCCACGTCGTGCTTTTCCATCTGCCGGAGCACCCGCAAGAGCTTCTCAAAGGTCGCAGTGTTCACGAGGCGGTCCAGTGTATACTTTGCACCGACGTCGTCCACGTCGTCGTCACTGTCGTCACTATTGTTCCGGTCGCGGGGCTGAATGGCTACCGAAAGTGACTGGTCGTCCACGCGCGACACCAAACCCGTCGGGTGACTGTGGCCCACTTGTGCGCTCTTTCGCTCCCCACGGAGCTGAACCACATCCCCAACTTTGAACTGGTGTGGTGTCGTGTGGCGTATACTTAGCAGCGGCAGTCGAAACTGCAGCACCGAGCGACCAAAGAGACCCGTCGAGCAGCGCGCGAGCGTCAAGTGCGTCAACACGTTGGGGTTCTCCTTGTCCGCAAGCGTCGCGAGCTCTGTCTGCCTCGTCTGCACCTCGTCGTCCTGCTCGAGCTGGAGCAGCCGACGGGTCAACGCCACCCACACGTCCATATCCACCACGTCCGCCATGATTGGCATGGGGTACCGATAAGTACGCGTCTGCCACCCAAGTACGCACCCCCCCCCCCCTCCAAAAACGCATGCATCGACCGAAGTACGCATCCGACAACATAGGTACGCACGTGCCTGCCAGGTTGGCATTGGCGACCTAAGTTCGCATCGAAGTTCGCAGTTCATGTAGGCACGCACGCACCGACCAAACGCGCGCTGCATCCGTAAGTAATTTTATACGTTACCAGGTTGCATCGCAGTCCTAGGTACGCACGTGCCTGTCAGGTTGGCATTGGCGACCTAAGTTCGCATCGAAGTTCGCAGTTCATGTAGGGACGCACGCACCGACCAAACGCGCGCTGCATCCGTAAGTAATTTTATACGTTACCAGGTCGCATCGCAGTCCTAAGTACGCACGCACTTTGGAAGTACGTACACGACGCGGAGGTACGCACGCGTCTGCTATGTACGCATCTTGGACATAGGTACGCGCTCATTTTCCACGGCTGCATCACCGCCTTCCGCACGCTGCATCGCGACTGTGATTTGCTGTAAATCCCCATTTCCCAACCGATCAGCCAATCACCGCGTCGCATTTCCACTTTAGCCATGGCAGGCGAGACGAGCGACCTCGAGGGATCGGGTCTGCGGCGGCGCCACGTCCAGACGCCGCCGGCGACTGCGCCTGCAGCCGAGCGCACTGCACCGCCGCCGCCGCATCGCAAGGGCTTTGTCGAGCTGCTGCTGTCGCCGCTGAGCTTTGTGTTGGGCGACGGCGAGCCCGAAGACCCACAGGCTGCGGCGCGGACCTTTACGCACCGTCTGCGGCGACGCTACGGCGAGGACGTGACCCCGGGCTTTGAGCACACGTCGTTCCGCGATGCGGTGTCGACGGCGCGGACCGCGTCCAAGTTCCTGCTCGTGTTTCTGCACTCGACGGTCCACGACGAAGCTGCGGTGTTTTGCCGGTACGAGCAGTTGAGTTGTTAGTTGACGAGCACTGTGGGGTGGGGAGTGGCTACAGGAGTTGGAGACGTGGGTGTGGACTGACTGTCTGAGTGTGTGTGTTGTTTTTGTGCTGTTTTTGTGCTATGGCTAGACACGCCATGTGCACGGCAGAGATGCGCACGTACTTGAACAATAGCGACTGTATTGTCGCGTGGGCTGGCTGTGTGCAGTACGCCGAGGGCTTTGGCGTGAGTCTGTCGCTCGGATGCGCTACGTTTCCGTTCGTAGCGCTGCTGTCGTGTGTCTCGCGAGGGATCAACGTTGTCGAGAAGATCACATGTACGGCTGGGCTTTCTAACTGTAGGATCAGACTAGCATGTGTGCTTGTGCTTATTCTGTGCGCAATCTGTGGTCGTTGTTGCTGTGCTGTGGTGGTACGCGCACGTAGCCAACTTGCCAGCTGAAGCGGTCATTGCGAAACTGAATGCTGCTGTTGAGCGCAACAATCCGATATTGACGGCAGCGCGTCATGCTCGCCAGCAACGGACTGAGGCGCAGATCCTGCGAGAACAGCAGGATATTGAGTATCAGGAGTCGTTGGCAGCAGACCGGCGTCGAGAGCAAGAGGTACGAGAACGGGCGGAACGGGAGGAGCTGGAGCGACTGCAGAAGGAAGAGGAAGAGCGGGTTGCGGAAGCGAACGCTCGTCGTGCTGAAGACGAACGACTTCGTCAGGAACAAGAGTACCAGGCGGACATTGAAGTGAAGCGGGCCCGGATCGCTGACGGCCCCAAGTCACGTACTCCGCCGCCAGGTGCAGACTACAAGACGGCGGTGATCAAGTTCCATCTACACAACGGCACGCGCTTGGACCATGTCTTCTACGCGCACGACACGCTGCAGACCGTGCGGGACTTTATTGATGTCGAGTTCTATGACCGTGGGATCTCGATTCGGAATTACGAGTTGGCGACGAACTTTCCGAAACGAGTGTATGGCCCGGAACTACTGGATGTCACCCTCGCCGAGTCTGTACGTGTCGTCTGTCGACTTGCGTGTTATATTGGCGTGATGTGTTGTGTCGTGTGGGTATCGTTTCGATGGTGCTAACGTGGATGCTTATGTGTGTGATTGCTGGAAGCAGGGCCTTGCACCGCAGGCACTCGTGTTCGTGCAAGATCTTGACTCGTAGGTACATAAGGACGGATGGATGACTGAAAGTGCTACGAATGAGTAAGACGATTGAGCTTTATATTACGTGAGCCTTCTACATGTGGCAATTAAGAAACGTTCGTGTCGAGTTGACTGCAAAAGCCGAGTAGAAACGCTTTTCATGTTCGCACAGAACATATCATCGAGCTGCATGACGCCGACCTCAAGCCGTGAGCACATATGATCGCCATGACGCAGCTTGCACTTCCAGCACGGAAACATACAGCCTCAGTCTAGCTGGAGAGCACGCTGTTTGCCTGACGCCGCCCGATACATACGATCGTGCAGTGCAGCAGCCTGTTGATGAGACTCGGAAGCCACTCCTGTGATCACGACGCGCTCGACGCCGTCGACGTTTTCCGACCAGCGCAGCGAGTCGAAAATGCGTTGCGAAGCCTCAGTGACATCGCCCGCAGGCGAAAGATCGAGGTAGGCTCTCACGCGTTCTCTTAAGCTGACCAGCTTGCCATGGAAGTCAACCACGACCCAGCAACTGACATCCTGTGCACTCGACGCGTCCATTGTCTCCGCTGCGTCGGCCTGATACAAATACGTGTCCACGTCTGGCGCATAGTGCGTGATCATTTGCCCTGGCGCTTGCTGCGCCTCTTTTGTCGCCATTGCTGCTTCCTGTTGGATCGTCACGACTTGGTACTGTCCGCCAAGCAACTGAGCGTTGGTCTTGAGCACTTGGGTCAGCATACTCTCGGACACCCCTCCACGTCGGAAGATGACGAGTTTGCGCTCTTCGGGCACGATTTTCACCACCGTGGACTCAATCCCGACTTGACAGCACCCGTCCTCGGTAGCTTCCAAGATACTCAAGTGTTCACACGAGCCCAAGTCGTCCAGTACGTGCTGGGCCGTGGTCGGACTTACGTGGCCGAATCGATTCGCACTGGGCGCTGCGACTGGGACATTGGCTGCTTTCAACAGAGCTTGAGCGATCGGGTGGCGAGGACAGCGAAGACCGACAAAGCCCGTGTTGGCCGACAATGTCCGTGGTAGACTGGACATCGCCTGGGCAATGAGTGTCAACGGTCCAGGCCAGAAAGCTTTGCCGAGGCAGTCGAACACTTGACGGCCTTCGGGTGTCAACTCTACGAGCTGCACTGCGTCTTCGAGCGCCGGTACGTGGACAATCAATGGGTCCGTGAGCGGTCGAGCTTTGGCAGCAAAGATGGAGAGCACAGCACGTGGATCCAGAGCATTGGCACCCAACCCGTACACTGTTTCGGTCGGGAACGCCACTAAGTTCCCCAGACGCAATTGCTCGGCGGCAATGGCGAACCCTTTGGCATCGGGTTGCAACAGACGCGCCATGGTCGAGTGCAGGCGGTGGTCGTATCGGGTGCACCAGATTGAGGTCACGCGTCGCGGATGGAACAAAGGCGTCGTGACGGGACTGTATCTGTGTCTACGTGGGTGAATCTGTGTATGTGATGTGGGGCTGTTTCAATGGTGGACAAAAGCGGTGATGGTGGATGGATGATAATGATGACGATGACGATGAGCTTTGGTGGGTACGCACGGCCCTATGGTAGATACTTTCGCTTTCGAGTGACACGCGTGTGTCGTATGTGTGCGTGTACCACTGCTGTTGCAAAAAGGCACGAGTCGCAGGTAGCGCGTGTGGTGGTCATAGGTAGGCAGAAAGAGGAGTACGCTCGGGAGTTCTCGTCCTTTCTGTTGCATGGGTGAGTGGTAAGGCGTCCGTGAGTGTTGCCTTGGATAGCAACCATATCTACGGTGTCTAGAGTGGCCTCACGAGTGCTGCCATCGTTGCTTACATCCTCTTGCTCTGCCCACTGGGTCTTGTTAAAGCGTGGTCGGCCCTGACTGCGAAGCTATTTTTCACCAGTGTGCCCAGCGCTCCTGTCTGCATTGGCTCCAGGACAGTAGGGACGGCGGAATGCAAAGGTGCAGTCTATCACTAGCATAGTGTTGTCAGCTTACCTGCTGCTACTGCATCTTCTCCATGAGCATGTACAGTGGTCGAGTAAGAAGAAGACTACGTTTGACACCAGAGCTCTGTGCACGGCACGTACTTCAGACAGCATCGTTTGTTCCCTTCTGCGTCAACGAGCTCTGGTGTACAGCTTGCAAGGAGCGAGCGTTATCGCCGTTCTGACTGATGGAGTCGAAGGTGCTCGAGCGACTGCAGCTACCGTTGCTGCGACAACGTACTTCTAGTGCTTGTGGTTCGGAGGGCCCGAACCCTTCGAAGCTCCAAGCGTTGAGCATTCGCATGTTGCGCTAGTCGCCCTCGATATCGCTTCATGCCAATCACGCGGGCATCGTGTGCGTGATGGACCGATCGACCGACAAAGGGACAGACGGGAAGTACGTAGTTGGCGGTCACCTTCCAAACACTGTTCGTATCCTTCTTCCGCCCATTTGCCAGACAGCGCGAGGCACTCTCGCACAGCGCGTCTCCCTCTGACAACAGCAAAAAGTGCTGTAGGATATAGTGCAGGCGCTCAACCGGATTTATCTTCCCGTGCCAACGAGTCGGTCCGAATCTCCGCTTGGCTCTGCACTCACGTCAGCTGGTCGACACGAACGTCCGGTTCCTCGTGTCAAGTGTCACATCTCAGCCCGCACAGACGAAGAGCTCAACTAGTCCAACACGCCGCCTTTTTCAGGAACAAAGTCATCACGCGGAAAAGCGCAGCAATCAATGGCAATGCCACTTGAGACCAACCAACCAGCCACTGGCGTCTTGACGTCCATCCAGTGTCCCTTGATCCTACACCAAAGCATCTTCCTCCAGGTCGAGAGGAACCGACTTTGCGGTCCCTTGACACCAGTGTCTCCTATACTCAGCCGGCCCTGTTCCCATCTTTTCCCGCAAGTGCCAGGTATATAGGTGTGCGTGTGTATCCGGCGAGCTCTTCGTCCGCCGTGTCCCTCTTCCTAGTCCATGCAGACGTCGAGCTACGACGCATCTGATCCCGAGCGAAGGGTGCGAAAGACCGTCGCCGTCTGTTGTTCAAAGAGCGCCTCGAAAAGCGCTTCAAATCCACGTGGAAACGACTCGCACGGCCAGACGCTGTTCCGCTCGGCCGATGCGTCACGACCTTCTGCGTCGTCAAACGCCGTGCGCCTCGAAGCGCTTGTGACGCACCGGCGCGTCAACTCGCACGGGATCAACCTATCGCACAAGAGCACATCCCTCTGTCAGCGCTGCTCAACGCTTTCGTAGGTAACGAGCCGCACGTTGCTATGATTGGAGCAGACCTGCGTCGCCACGAGCGACACAGCACAGCCACGAGATCCCCTGTCGAGTCCGAAGTGTAGTAGCAGAACACTGGAAACACACACGACCCAGTGGCCACTTTTCGATTCGCCGCCACGCACTCGTCCGTGGCTCTATCTGTCTGTCTGTTTGCGTGCAGTTGTGTTCTTTGCACCGCCGCCGGCAACCGAAGCGACTGCGCGTGTGCGTTTGTCCCGAGTCCACCGGTTCCATAGCAGCCATGGCGTTCTTCACGTCCGAAGACCTGAAAATCGCCTTCAACTTCTTCTGCACTGTGTATGGCATTGGCACGCTCGGTCTCCCGTCCAACTTTGCTCGCTCAGGGGCGACCCTCGCGACCGTTGCGCTCGTCTTCATGGGCTTTGCCAACATTTGCTCGTGCGTTGCGATCTCGCGGGTCATGTCGGCGGCCCCGAAGAACGTCAAGACCTACGGCGACGTGGGCGAGTGGTGTTGTGGCAAAGCGGGACGCTACGTGGTCCTCTTTGTCCAATTTGGCGTCTGCTGTCTCGTGCCCTGCGCGTTCCTCGTGCTCGGGGGCATTCTGCTCGACGGCATCTCGCCTGGGGCATTCGATCAGCAGTACTGGAGCATCCTCATGGCTGTCATGCTGCTGCCCGTTATCCTAACGCCGACACTGAAGGAAGGAGCGGCTGCAGCGTTTGCGGGCTGCCTCGGGACGCTTCTGGCGGATGCCATTGCCCTGAGCGTCTTGGTCAAGGGCATTGGCGCGGACCACCCCGCGGTGATTCGCCCCGCGTTTGACTTTGGCCAGGTCGCTAGTTCCTTTGGGAACCTCGCGCTCGCGTATTCCGCTGCAGTGCTCGTGCCAGCTCTTCAGCGAGAACACTCGCAGCCCGAGCGCATGCCCCGCGTAGTGGCCACGACTATGGTCTTCACGAGCTGCCTCTTCCTCACGATCGGCTGGACGTCGTACGCGTTCGTGGGGTGCCAGATTCCCGGGAATTTGCTCTTTGCCATTGGCGGCACAGCGCTCAATTTGAAGGCAAACCGCGGGGCAGTCGTGCTCGCCTTTATGTTCATGCAGCTGCACATTACGATTGCCATGTCCGTGATCTTGAACCCCGTGCTGTACATTGCTGAGCGCGGCATCCTCGGTATGCACAAGCGGCCTGCGCTCACTGACTTTGACGAAGAGTCTCCAGCGTTCGAGACGATCGACACGCGGCCAAAGCCAAGCGCTTCAGTGATCTCGTTGGCGAATGCCGAGCACGTGCTATCGGCCGAAGCGTTGCTGGACGAGTACCACAATAGCGGACCTATCGTGACGGCCAAGTACATGACCCTCCGCATTGTCGTTGTCGTGATTCTGCTCGTGATTGCCATACTATTCAAGGACCACTTTGTGGACTTTACCGACTTTGTCGGGGCCTGGGCGGTTTCGATGGCCTGCATCATTCTCCCGATCGTCTTCTACTTTAAGGTGTTCTGGTACCGCGTTCCGTTGTACGAGAAGGTCATTGGCACCTTTATCATTGCCATCTGCGCAAGTCTGGGCGGCTACGTGACGTTCACGACGGGGAAGTACCTCTTTTTGAACATTGTGAGCGACAAGACGTTCAAGTACTGCCCAGCGGGCTACGACATGGTCGTGTACACGAATGAGACCTTTTACGGCCACAACTAGAGCACGACGAAGACAGAAGATGCTCGAGTTGCAGTGTGCTGCTATGGTGAGACTTCCGCGCTCGTCATACCACCATGCTATGATTGCTCCAGCTCTTGTACTATCGTTACCATTATACAGCGACGTGAGTGCCAATGATAATACAACCAACTAAGTAAAGCAACTGATCCATTGTCGAACGTGCTGTCCTAGTCACGTGTAGATCTGTGCCTCTGCATACCGTGCCAATGCTCAACGTCGACTCGACGGTGATGACATCGAGCTGAAAGCTACGGCACGTTCTATCTGAGGCTCTTGTCAGAACGAGCTGGGCAAACGAAGAACTTTTCGATCGCATCTTGCGCTTTCCAGACGATCATCGACCACGTAGCAGGCTTGACAAGCAACACTTGACGCGAATGCTCGATTCAGCCATTCGCAACGACAGGAACGATACGTTGTATCAAACGTGACCAACGCCACTGTAGTATGCGTGTATGCTTCGACGCGACAAGAAAGTCTGCGATAGATATGTCAACAGTGCATATGCTGTCGTCAACAGCTCCATCAGGAGCGTGTCTGTGTCTTGAGTAATGAGTATCATCTGGGAAGACAACGGGAGGGATCGGCAACGGTACCTCCTGTGTTGCTGGTGGCTACCAGGCTGTAATGCCATCGCAGGCTTCACGGGGCAGACGAACTATCCAGACATCGAGAGGCCGTCTAGAAAACAGAGGTGACGCAATGCAACGAGGCTACTCACTTGCTGGCACATTCGCTGCGGACTTGAGCTTACGCACGAATGTGAAGCGATATCCAGCAGCTACGTCCCGATCGATACGACTCATGAATACGTACTACACAGGTGAGCGCATGCTGTCAAATACGTGGGCAACCTTTCGCGTATCTACGTCCTTTTGCCAGTTGTCATCGATTAAGCCCTGTGCAGTCGACGTCTTCTACTGTCGCATGTCGTTACGTTCGTTTCCGCTGTGCGAAGTCAGCTCCCAGGCGAGACGTGTAACATAAAGTGAAAGGTGCAGCTAGAAAGGCTCGTGCATGCGCTTGCAGTAGCAAGTACATGTCAAATGGATGCAGTGCGATGCAGCAAAGTCCATCTTGTGGAGCGTGCTGATCCTGTCTCAAAGAGCTAACGATTATGTATTCAGCAATCAGGCTCGATCGGATTCAAATCTCACCAGTATTCATGTGGCCATTGGTACGACTCATCTAAAAGCGCAAACGGCTTGCAGTATTCATGTCTTTGGATTTCAATGCGATCAAGTCTATAAACATGACACTGCCAAACATTGAGCCGTCACTTCGCACCGATGAAGGCGAAAAAAAACTATGTCAAGTGTAGTAAAGATGTCTGGTGTCTCTATCCTGTTGGGGCGGTGTGAGTTGGGATAAAGCGTGTTCAACGACGATGCCAACTGTTAGGACAAGGGAGTTGACGCCAGTGTGCAGGTGCGCGAGCAATCAGAACGTAGTTCTTGAAGATGGTCGAATTGAGTATTTGCCGTACAACAATAGGAGAGTAGAGCAGATACGACTGCTGAGGTAGTATTCGATCTTACTCTGTTCGCTGCAGAAGCCACACGCTGATACCGTATTGGTAAAACTCTATGTCTTGGTGAAAAGCGTGGTCGAAACGGTTTGATGGAGGAAATGTCGTCTACTGAGTTCCTTTGTGAACACCTTCGTCTCGCTAAAGTATGGAGTAAAATCACCAACGTCTTTGCCAACCTCGTAGAGATAAAAGAAAATACGCTAACCACACACGACGGTCTACACTCTTCCCATTTTCGAGGACAGAATACGCGGAGGGACGCATGCACGCATAGCATGAACAGTCACACACTATGATGTGCGATGTCGATCGCTATTTATTCGCACCGTCACAGCTACACAAGCAGGAGCAGCAAACAAACTCACCTAGCGGTCGATCGTAAGCTTATGGAACTGTCTTGTGGTGCTGTTCGTTTCGAGTGCTTCGTAGGTAGACAAACACGCTGAATCTGTAAACCTGGCGCAATTCGGATCGCACGGCCTTACCAAACGAACGTATGAATATATGAAGTACACTTCAAAGACTACGATTTACCAATACAGGGAACGTACAAGCATAACGTCAACAATTACACACTTTAGGCTGGCAAAAAGCCGTGAGAGCATATCTGATCCAGCAAAAGCACGTGTTCCATCACGAATACAGACTGGACCAACAGGCAGACTTCCAAAAGCTAGACGTCGTGATGGAAGGCGTCATCGTAATTGATATTCATACGAACACAAAAAGACCAGACTGTTACATGTACACTCAGATCTATTTTTTAATTTGTCGATTAAGTCGTTGTCTTCTTGCCGTTGCGGCTACACGCCGGTTGTGTATAAAGCTGCACGCCTGGTAAGGCTTCTGTGCCTGTCGTTCGTTACAGACAATGCTGGTAAGCGAACCTACCGGGCCGATGGATGATGCATCTGTCAGCAAAAGACAGTCCGTGTATAAGTTAAGCATGCAAGTGACAATTTGTGAGATCTGAAGTTGAGACAAGTATTGTTGCGTGGTCGTCAGAATCACTGCATGTACACTCAGTATATGAGCTTCTTCATGTTGGTATAAAAATTGCTTTACTCTCAATCAAGTTATCAGTGGGCCATGTTTCGATTCGAATACGTCACAGGTCTGTGCAAGGCTTGAGTCAACATTTATGCCATAATGTCGAGTGATACAGGACGTGCGCTTGGACGGGCGTGCAAATGTGATGGGCCAAGCTCGGCGTTCAATGCAGCTTACGTCCATCTGTTGTATTGGTGGACGTATGCTACTTGAAGATACAGTTGTGGTGTCGCAGTAACGATCCCTGCTAGAGATCAACAGGTGGGGCGAACATCGCAAAAGGACAGTAGCGTGTCATATGCAACAGGAGCGAGTACATTCATGAGGAAGGCTTCGATGCAATACTATATAGGGCATAAGAGCAAAGCGCCTTGATCAGCTACGTTGCTTCGGCGTATACGAAAAAACAACATCTTCAGGTCAACACGACGAGGATGGACATCCCACTAGCTCCACCAACTACTTCTGCAACTAGTCAAGGGCCTGAAAGATGAAAAAGAGCAGAAGAAATACGAACATATCGACTGTAATATCGCGATCAATTGATTTCACAATTTGGCTGATACGGCCATCATCAAACATCCCGTTGAAAGCTGCAGTTATGTATGTGAATATTTGGTCGTATATTAAACGATACAGTGTACCTTTTTGCTTTTTAGTGAATTATTGCCGTTTCCACTTCTCCGTATTGATGTACATTATTGGTATATTTGGTTATTTGCTGATGCATTTTGCTTCTATTTTTTTATTTGGTGCTTTTTACTTGTGAATCTTAAGCGCACTTTGTTTTATATCCCCAAGAAACAATTACCTGGTGTTTGACCATAAGGTATGCAACAGGTGGGTAAGGTTACCTCAAAAGCCCGGATCTGTTACGACGCAATCATCGTTAGTCTGCGTGTACGCGGTTACTGACCTGCGTGAATATAGCATAATTGGTTGTCAGTCAAATGTGCTGCAAGATCGATGATGACGTGGAGCGAAGAAAATGTGTTCGAATAAATCTTTACTCTACACGACTGTGCCATTTCCGTCGTTCGCTATTCATACTTTGTTTTGGCTACAAACCCAATCTTGTCCCACCAGCGCTATCTCATATTGGCCGCTAGCCACCATCCCTAACTCTGCGCTTTATTACCTGCGATGGGTAACTACCACGAACAATAACACGCGAGCAGATTACCGAGGATAGTAATGAATCTAATTCTGTCGATGTAGGATATTGCGTGTTTGATGTTTGCTGAAATATATGGAGAGTCTCCCATAATGTCAAATGGCGTGATAAGTTACTGCGCGCACAATTAGTTTGGTGTTCGTTGTGCGGTGTATCGGACATTACCACGTGTACCCACGACTTTTAAAATCAGCGACGCTTGTAACCGCCTATTCTTCAATAACCAAACGTAATCCGATGCCGCTCTCGCTTGTCTGTACTCGCCAGAGGTGCAACGCCATTGCTTATCCGCGAAAAAGACACTGGCCGTAGATGAAGCTAACTTCATCGCAACAAGCTATTAAGGACAGCAAATCTCTGATAACAAAGAATGGACTGCGTACACCATCTTGGTCATGATAGTACGACCTGTCGGAAGAGGGAAGAATGGTCGTGCGTGTGGTGATGTCCCAACTACATCGCATCGATACAAAGGATGATTTTGTTCACGATTGGGTTGTCGCAGCTGCACAAAGGAAACATATTACGAGTTTTCAACAATCTGACTGATGAGACAAGAACATAAGCTCTCGTACAACGAATCATCCAGTAAGAGGGAGAAAAATAGCTACATGAAGTCCATCGACGCATGTGTGTGTATTTTGTTTGCGCAGCAGACGTCTCAATATGACCTCACGAATCTTTCTGCCGCATAGGGGCGTTGTGCACATTTGTCAAACTTACTAGAACTTCCATGTTCAATGCAGTCAATGTCAAGGTACAGACGCTCATCGCTCATCATACGGGACCATCTCCAGGCCTATATTTGATCATGCCGCAACATCGATCCATTCGCACATAATACTCACTTTTGGAAGCTGTAAAATGACTCTTTTCCACTTTTTTCACACAATTATACATCACCTCTTTCCCCACTGCGTCTCCACTAACGCCATGGCGCTCGCCCTTCGCTACGCAGAGGAAGCCGAGTTCAGGTACTACGTAAGCGACTGCTCGTATCTCATACGCCCAATAACATGTCCTCTCTTCTCTGCAGCTCTCGCGCCTGTGACAGTGCGCCTTTGGAAGCTCCTGACGTGACGTTTAAAGCTTTTTTTCGGGTACGACTGACTCGTGTAGGAAACTGACCTGTTGGGTTACATGACAGAACTTGGTCCGTTTTTTTTTGCTTTTCTGTTCTAGTGGAGCCGCTCAGTGCGTCAATTGATTGGCCCCTTAGCACACGGACCGGTGCAAGTCCGGACGTTGATCGTCGCTATGCCTGGAGCTCCGCATCAGTTCGTGCAGCAGCTCACAGCTTCGTGGACTGCTGTCGGGGCATTGGTGACCAGTGACCAGACGACGATTGTGCGTTGGTGTTCTGTACCTTTTTTCGTACAAAATTGGGCATTGCTGGCCGATATTTGGTGATACTGACCCACAATGTCCCAATGGGGCAATGCCAATGGAACGCTGCAGGGCTCGCCATGCGCGGGAATCATATTGTCAAAAACGGGACACGATGTGTCGGAAGAGGGAAATTCGCTGGCGATACTAGTGGGGCAAGAAGTCTCGCCTGCTGCGACGTGGGTGTGGCTCGACAGGCTGCTAGCGCATATCGAGCCAGAGGAGATTGTGTGCCTGAGCTCACAGCTGTCGACGGTTTACGGCGACACGTGTGTCGAAGCGGAACCTGCTGCAAAGCTGAGGACATTGACGACGTCTGTTGTGACGGAAGACATGAAGAAACAGACGCTGGTGCCGTCGCTGGAAGTGCCACAATTTGTGGTTGGGATCCCGGCGGCGCTGCTTACGCATGTACGACGATAGATCGATAAGAGTTGGTTGGACGATGGTCTGTTTGCTGATGACTTGCTGCTGTGTAGGGAGAGTTACGAAAACGTCGCGTTCGCGTTTTCGTGAGTCTGCGCGACGTCTGCGCTACTGTAGACGACGTCATGCGAAGCTTTCTACCCTTAGCTGCGTCGGTGTCGTCCGTGCTCGGTACATTGGAGTGTCCTCTGGTCTGTCAGTCAACGGGTATGAAAAACAGCGTGACGGGCGTGCTGTACACGTAAGGCGTGCATGACTCTACATGCTGAGGTCTTGCAAGCCGAATCGAAGCGTTGTTCGAGCACACTTTTCGGGTACTTTTGGCCATCTATGCCTACTGAAGAAAGCGTTTGAGTTGTGGTCAAGTTGGTAGCACATCAGCTACAATACGATCTGTTTCTGATGGGCGATTACGTTTGATAAGCTCCTTCGTGGCGATTCGTAAACAATGGCATGCATGCGTCTGGAAAGCGTTTGGTATCATTTGGCGATAGGAGGTCATTGACATGTGGAAGTTGCTGTCTACAAATATGAGTACAATAAGGAAATGCAATCCGTAGCTACAAGCACATCGATCCCGCTACACTTTCAATAGGTAGGCAAGAAGCTTTATACTGCTCGCTGCTGAAAATCTGGCTTGACCTGCCGAGAGAAAATTCGTCAAAGCCCACTTGTCGCTTCTTCAGGCTTTGCCAGCTTTGATCATCTTTTGACGCTGTGTGAGCGCCGATATGTCTGGATACAGGCTCGTAAGCGATCCTTCCGTCGATCGAGGCGAGTCCGTCGTATGTCATTAACTATGTAACTATGTTGTCGATGTAAATCTAATTTGCAAAACACATTTGGCAAAACTGCTCGGACAGTGACATTGTACGAAATTACGCCTAGAGGGTACATTGTATGAACGTGATCCTTGGGGGTAAAATCGAGCAACCGAATGGTGACACTTGTGCATTGGCTTATACCGGTCATGACATCAACCAACAACGACGTACCAAGAAAAGACGTGCGCCATGAGCGGTGAGCGGGCAGTCAAATAGTCTTACGACATGTTATTGTCAAGGCTTCATTTACGCTACAATACGTTTGACATCACCATTCCCTTAGACCATATAAAACTAGCTGCGCAGAAGATCAACATAGTTTTTTGGATGACGTGGGCACCGATCGTTGATGAGTTGCTGAGCATGCGCAAATACAGCTCAATTTTATGAATTGAATAGTTTTTACGTTGAAAACGCCTGAGGAAAACCTTGATGAAGTCCGTAGACTTTGACCATTTAATGAATGTAAGATCAATCGGATGATCTTCTAAAGCTACCGATGGTTGCACGTTCGACGGTAACTAAAGAGGTGACTTACCATTAATGCTAGAACGCGGTCGCTCTTGCGCTTTCTGCGTGCTAGCTAAGTCAATCAAATCTGAAAATTTGGTGCGCAGGAGGTGGAAGTGGCGACACTGGGTCACCACTTGTATTTGCGATAAGTATTCTGCGGCTCATTGATGGACGATAAGGACATCGGTAACGAATATCATATTCATTGGAGTGACCTCGACCCCTATCATGTTGGACAATTTTTCAAATGATCCTTTGGTCGGACTCGACAATATATTTCACTCAAGTACGGGCCATGCATGTTTGCAATATTGAACATTAATATACATCGTGATCGACATGGATCTAGATGTACAGTATTCTTCTACACCGGGTACACCTAAATACGACGCAAACAGCTCAAGGACCGGGATGCTGGCGCTTTCCAAACAAATTTATCGATTATCTTGCCATTGTGGCTGCCATTGTATTTGAGGCATCCCAAGTGTGTGATACGCTATGTACGGCTACAAACCCCGGGCTGGTGCGGGAGGTCTGGAAATGTAAAACTCGCAAAGCGTTGCAAAATGTGGACTTCAAGCTGTGGTACGAGCGAACTCGCGAGCTTCGTCAGGCTCGAGACCTTGTTTTCTTCGCTGAGGCCAACATTTCTCCACCCTTAGCTCAGAGACCCGTTTACAGCTTGAACGAGCGCAGGCTGTACTGAGTTTCCAACAACAGCAGTATAGCGAGGTCCATCAAGACGCGGAATTTGATACCCACGCGACCCAGATGGAGCGCTGCAGGTGGCGGTTTCTCGAACCGCCACATTCGGACGAAGGGTGGAACAAACCTGATTTTATTTGCGAGCTCATCGGGCTTTTGGTTTGACCTAGAAAGCCTGATGTTCGGACAAGGTTTATATTTCATGCTATTAATTGCTTTCGTTGGGTTCGCCATCTTCATCCGATGGATAGTACTCTGCGGTCTGCATGTCGTGGAAGGCGCTCATGTTGCTCTTAATGAAGACGAGCTTTCCAACCGATGCCACGATATGTGAATTACAAAGCTTCGAATCGACGAACGTCATTATGGAGAAGTTGCATTCCGATTAAGCGCTGGATGTTGCCATCGAGAACAGCTTGAGTGCTACGGGCTGCAGATTTGGCCATTGGACACCATCCGTCCACCAAAATTGCAGTGGCGTCTTCGCCTTTTCGTCAGCATAAAAATAGGAATGAGCTCTTAGCCTTCTCATGCCGCGCCGAGATAAGAAATTCAGTCAATTCAATATACAAATACATCCGTTTGGTGTCATCAATGGGAGTGTTGCAAAGCTTGTCTTCGAGTTCACGAAACTTGGGTGGTGGCAAACCATCACCGAGAAGGCGAGGGTCGAAGAGAGATAGGACAGACCTTGTGCTACACCATGCATGAATTGGATGCGGGAAGCCGCGAGCTTCTTCAAATACTGCAACTCTAGCTGAGTAATAACCGCTCGTTCGTAGAAAGTAGTGAACTAGTCCAGGGGGCATAGAAATCCGGCGGTACTTCTGAAATTGGGATACTGTCAGACCGGTACTTGACAATTCGCGCATCGATAGGCTCGATAATGGCAATGGCCTTGTTCAGCTTCATGACGGAGGTAGTGCCGGTGACGATGTCCTTGATCTCCTGCCGCTCAGACTTCTGCGCAGCCGTCCCAACAACAAATTCGCGGGCGCCTATGATGTTGTGGATCAGGCCCTCTGATGTAATCACCGACGCACACATGGCTTGAACGGTCCCCCAACGAAACGGCACGGGTCGAACAAAGTAACATAATGACTCAACCTTCTGCGCCTCCTGCAGGCGCGCCTTTACGACATGATGATTGTGGAAAAACTTTACCAGATCCTTGCACGCGGAAACAAAGATGAGCATCTTCACACAAGGATATAGCACAGGATACGTTGCCTCATTGCCGTTTTCCACCCTGATTTTCGACGCGGAGAACACATCCTTCACAAAAAGTATCAGTCCATGAGAACAACAACCCATAACGTAATGCGATGGGAACGCCTTGCCATGCTGTTGCCCGGCATTCTAATTGGCCGAAGTATTGTCAGTCACCGCCAAACAGAACGTTGACAGCGCATTGTGATCGAATACGCGCGTGATTTCCTGCGCGATTCAATCGGCGATGTGATCTTGCTGTTCAGTAGATACTGACTCGAGAAAAAGTAGACTGTAGGAGACGTGGCGATGTAGTTGATATAGGATGCTCTTGATGTTCGACCAGCCAATTGTTACCAGACATAAATGAGCGCCTTTCATGCAAATGTCGACGTTTGACTTTAACCGATCGTAGCACTCGTAACAATTCACCTGCGAGCTTCTTGCGATTCGGGATACTGTTCTCGTTAGGGCAGCACGCGAATAGCTTCCTGAAAGATAAATATACTCAACGCGCTGGAAAAAACGACCCTGTGGCGTAGTAGTGAATGGCGATATGGAGCTGGAACCTTTCCTTCTCCGACCGCGATAGCAAAGGTAAGCAAAACTCCCTGATGGACCGCTCACCATGCGATGATGCAGAAATCGACATGTCGTTTAAAACGTTGCGCCGCATAAACGCCGGTTTTTGTTGGACACGAAACAATGGGAATGCTCCAAATATCGAGCCCGTTCATAACGTGACGAAACTCGGAGCACTTGTTCAGATACTTTATCGCAGACTCACTCTTTTTGTGATGATTGATAGGATCTCGGCAGTGTTCGCACAACACTGCCTTTATCTTCTGCGGCCGCACAACATATGTGAAGTATTCCCTACCATGCTCTGCCTCCGGCCTGTCTTCCGAACGGGCTCGAGTGATTCCTTCACGACTGAGACGCCCACGTCAACGACCGAATCATCATCCACTATCTCACCTGGCCTAGATAAACACGCGTCATCGTAGCTGAAGTCGGACATAATACGACTTATATTTTATAGTGCGAGGCTGACTGAAGAGAACTGCGCCACGGACTGCGCCACGGACTGCGCAAGAGATAAAACAAAACAAAAACAAGGTTGTTAGGATTCTCAGCTCATCGGTTTTATATAAAACGTAAAAACACCGATGCAAAAAACCGCGTGATGCCACCCTTGGTTCAGACCTCCGCCGTGTACCATTTGCGACAGCCCTACGGTCGGAGGGTGGCGTGGCTATGGATCCTACCAATGTTGCAGCCATATTTCGCCGCCATCGGGGTGCAATATCCGGTGAGCAAGATCAAGATAGTATCATATATGCAATCTAGCGGACGTTATATAGTGAATAGGCACAGGAGCCTGATGAACATCTTACTGCTGAAGAGTTGGCTCTCACCATTTGACATCTACGCAGTTCTTCTGCACCGGGGCCTGATAATCGTCAGCAGCCTTTTGCAAAATTGCTCCGGACATCTTCGGGGAGATCCTTTCGATCGTCTTTCGTTACCAGTTTCACCATGGGACCCTGCTTTCCTCATATCGCACGTCTGCCGTGACACTGCTACACAATTCGGGATGTCAGTCGAACCCCGGCCATGATGCAAGTGGACGTCAAAATCTTGATCAAATCGCTCATGTTTCGAATGCGTCAGCTTATGCCGCAATCAATCAACGTCGAGCAAAAGGTATTCATTTCATGGAGACCGCCTCACCACCATGTGCGTTTTCTCAGTGAGTTGCAGCACTTGCTGTCAGCTGTAGATGAAGTCTGTATCGCGTTATTCCTCGATTTCGGCAAGGCTTACGACCGGGTGTACTCTACTTACATGTTTTACGTGCTATCTCGGATGGGTTTTGGTCACCGCTTTTGCCCTGAATTAATATGTTGAACCTTAATCCTGTTGCCCGACTTCTAATCAATGGCAAACTGCTGGATACGGTGGGGGGCACTCGTGGGGTCAAACAAGGTGACCACTATCTGTTTTCCTGTTCCTGTTGTGTATTGAGCCTTTGGTCAATCTCTTGTGGTCTCATCCAGACCTTGACATAGCCATTACCCCTATTATGTTTTTGGTTGGTCGTTTCTATGCGGATGACTCCAATTTACTGTCATGCTATCCTGTTTCCGCTGAGGCCCAGCTCCAGCTCGTCCACAGTTATTGTTCGGGGTCGGGAGCCTTACTCAATCGCGCCAAGTGTCAGGTTCTTACAGATAATTGTTCACGGGAGCCCATATATCTTGCTGGCATACGAGGTCTCAACCCACAATGCCATGTTAAATTTCTTGGACTTCACTGTGGTCACCGCGATGCCACGTCCCTGCACCTCTCGGAGCTCGACAAACGTCTTATTGACCGCCTGAGGCTTTATCGTTATCGGGATCGTAATCTCAAAGGAAGGCTGACCCTTGCCTCTTCCGTAATTGTTTTCGATCCTCTGGTATTTTACCCAACATCTTGAAGTGCCCGCGCCGACGGTCCAACGGTGGCAGCGACTCCTGTAAAATGTCGCGCTCTATCGACGCACAGATCCCGATGATACGCCTCTACGTCTCATTTTGCGTGAGTTTGGCTACCTCTCTATGTGTCACGGTGGGATACATATACCTCAGATGGCTGTGTTTCTACAACGACAGAGCGTTTCCATTGCTCAAGAGTACTTGGCGTCGATGACGACATCATCCACACTGGATTGGTCAACCCCTGCGGCCGTTCTCCATTCTGGTGCGTTGACACCCCGACATATTGTTCGTCCGTGGGGTCTTCTGAACATGTCCTTTCAGTCCTTCGTGAATTTGCGATCTTTCTCACTTAGGTGGCGTTCGTCATGGAAGATTTGGTCGGTCACTTCGTGGCCGGTCATGCTCGCAGACTTGCCTGCGACCATCAGGGATTTCTACCTCTTGTCCAGTCCATTTGGCTTCCTCTCGACTCATTCCTTTTCGTGTCTTTGGGTGTCCGTCCGTGCGGATTCGGTCAGATAGTTGGCCCTTCCCGACCGTATCTGTTGTCCGTTGCAGAACGGCACGGCCTTTGCTGTTTAGCCGATTTTATGCCTACTTTTGATTGTTTCACCTCACTCACCGCCTTTGATGACCGTTTTCTACAGTCGGCTGGTGTGACGCTTTCGGTTTCTCGTCAGCGCAGGTGGTTGCGAGCCCTTTACGATGAATTGGCACACTTTTTTGCAAGGTTACCGCTCCTACCGTGGCTTAAGACTATACGCGTATCAGCCGCAGTGAGGAACCGAATTATTCTGTTTACAATTGTCACGGCACCCGATTTTACCTCTCTCTCTCTCTCTCTCTCTCCGAATGCGGCTTTGCGAGTTATTACCAAGGACGCTATTCCCCCACAGAGACGTCTTCACCCTATCGCAAGTGTTTTTGACTCGACCGACCCAGATGTGGTGCCGACGGTTGTCAATTTTGACCGTGACAGCTCTGTGAACTTACTCCCAGTTCTGCACGATCTCCAATTTCGACTCATTTTTCGCCTGTTGCCAGTTGGGTCGCGTTTCTACTTTCTGCAGGGCACTATGCCGGGCGTCATGCGTTGCCAATATAGCAGCAGCTTAGTTGCAGTCGATACGGAGCGTCATCTATTCATCAAGTGTACGCCAGCGGCACGACTTTGGGCATTTGTCAGCCAAGCTTGGTTCCCGTTGATTGCCATGTCGGTGTCGTAATCGCATATTGTTCACCCGGCCGCCATCCCGATCAACACTTCCGTGGTTTTGACGCTGAAACCTTGCGCATGGTTTGGTATGTCTTTCGAGCCATTGCACTGCACCAGCTGTGGGCCCAGCGAAACGCCATCATAATCGAGCACCGTCACCCCACCCGATGACTCAGCACGTTTCCGGCTCTATACCACATTTGCTGCCCATCTTCGTTGCAACCGTCGCACGGAGTCTGTTCCAGCTTACTATCTTGACCAGACCGTCGAGGTATTGCGTGCCGAATGCAGTGGTGGGGTCGTCATGCGTCGATTTCCGCGTCTTCTAGCTACGTGTGATGTTAGCACGATCGTACAGTCCACATTCTTCGTGGCATGTTTGGGTGCTCTTGTGAAGCCGTTCCATTTCCTACTCGGTGGGTGTCACCGTTTCGTCGCCATCTACCATTACCACCACCACGTGTGTATGTTGCATCTATATCCGTTTCCCTAGTCATGTCCATCGTTGAGAACTCATAAGGCCATATTTTATTGCCATTGACGTGTTAAATAGGAAACGCGATCGTCGTTTTTTAGGTTGTTGGCATGGCAGGTGGTCGATCATATACGTAATATGAAATTGCTAACTATCTCTTTTGTGGTTAATATTTTCATTGATGTTAAACTTCAGCGCTTGAGCGACGTTGCTACCTATAATGTCCAACTTAGTCGTCTGGGACACTTTTCAACCTCTTCGCCTAAACTGCCACATGTCCAAATCATAAAAGTAGGCATTAGAAGGTCCATGTTGCGCAAGAACTCTTTCCCCTCTATCTCGCGCGACACCTGACGTATCAAAGTGCTCATCATGTGCATCTTCTCGTTACTGGCGGCACCTATTTCAGCTGATAATCCAGCAGCGTCAGCACTCTGTAAACTTGAGTTTTTCTCACCTTGTAAAAGAAAGCAGATCAGATGCGCGATCTCGATAGGTCACAGTGCCTTGTGAGCTACTTGTGCCGTGTTGCTACTCCGCCCTGATCTCTTGAGATCGTTGCGCCGCAGATTAGAGAGCGTAAGTCTGACAGTTGTTTCATTCTTGGACAGTACAGCTAATGATGGTGAAGTAGCGTATGCAGCTGTGCTAGGAAATAGATGCCAAAGCGTAGCAATGCCGATTGCAGTACCTATATCACACACGTCTACGGAGCGTGGTCATCCCTTTCCTGTACAAAAGTACTTGAGCAACAGGTGCTTGGGTCTGATCCTGAAATCGGCTACAAAAGTTTTGAGGTGAGCCCTCATTTACAATGAGCTCTGCGTCAATGACTTGAGCTAAGGCTACGCCGCCAATGCCACAGATGATCGTTGCTCTTACCAGTTTACTCACTTGCAACGCGCCTGCTGTAAGACGGTTGTAACCTTCATTTTGTTTGTATAGTAATCACAGCTGTAAAGTCAATGTGTTGTCCTCGGCCATTTCCAGAGAACCACGTGTCCTCTGCTTGCGGTGTCAGTTTGAACATACGCCAAAGCAGCAATATGCAACGCGCATCGACATTTGGATGGCAGCATGTACGGCTGTAGTAACGAAGAGCGCTTGAGATGCACCCACCATGTAGCAGGCAGTTAGCTGATATCCTGCGACATGTAAACAATCCCATCGACATGGCTCGAGTCGTAGCCGAACGGCTCTCGATCGTCGCACGGTTCTCGCTCGTTGATCCGTAGCCTTTTCTGCCGCTCGAAGCGATCTCGAGTCATGTCAATCACTTCCACCACACAACCGCGTTCTATCCTCGACGTCCCTCTTTTTCCACGCAGTCATTGTGACTCTGTCCAGAACCGACATTCAGTTTGGTGATAGATACTTCGCTTGCCGTTATATTTGACCAGCACAAAGCCGCTGGGGAGCTGCGTCAGTAGCTCATACAAACATAAGCATGTTCCGTAATCAGGAAGTGACCCAATGCGTCAACTAACGACAGCATTTGGACATCTCATAAGCAATAGAGAGCAGCAACCACTTCCTTTGGCTGCAATCATCCCTGACGAACAAACTCAGTTCAGCAAAGCGGTTATTGCATCACACACATTGACGACACAAACAACTGTGTCTTGGCTCTAATCCGGAAAGCGCAGCGTACCTAATGGCTCTCGTGACAACGTCGTAGCGCACGTATGACTTGCGCTTTTCAGCTTTGACTCATTGCATCCACAGAAGCGTCGGTAGCGCCATCTCCAAAGTGTGGATGGACACTTGACACTCGCGCAATTCTGATCGCACAAAATCGTATGCCTCTGTTGGCGCATCAAACTGGTAGTCGCACTACTACCATTAGCTGTTTAACTCTGTTTTGCTCCGGCCTGAGCTTCGTGAGTCGACCGCTATAGTTTCGTGCTCTGGTATCGGCACAGCAAAGCGGCTCTCGTCGACAGGCTCTCTTGGCTTAGCTTGCTCGCACATGTGCAGAGAAAAAGCCTGACATAGCAGTCATCACATTCATGCTGTTATTCATCCCGCTCATCACCATCACAGCCACATCCTACAGCAAACGTGCATGGCAGTACATTGTCACAGGCCTCACCTTCCAATACATGCGCTGCATCACTCCCCTCGACAGCATTGACCCACGCTAAGACGACGACGTAGCTCGACTAGCGACGATGACGGTCTCGACCACGCGAGCGGCGCTCATTGCCGGTGCCCGTCCGCGCATCGGTCAGGAACTGGTCAAGTCCGTACGGATCATCTTCGCTGTCCTTGCTAGAAGAACGTCGGCGGCGCTTGCGGTTGCTGCCCCTGCTGCGGGATCGAGAGTAGGACGGTGAGCGTCGACGACCACTACGGCCACGCGGATACGATGGAGATCGCGAGCGGGCACGAGGGCGACCACGTGCCCGCGATATCGAAGGAGATCGTGAAAGTGAGCGCTTTCGTCCATGAGATGCCGAAAGTGAGTGCTTACGTCCGCGAGCTGCCGAACGATCGCGACTCCTCCGCCGCAATGGTGATGGGGATCGACCACGTCCACGCGGTTGCGGCGGCGAGCCAGGAGACGAGCGTGGACGCCCTCTCGAACGTGGTGGCGAGCCGGACGGCGAGCGTGGACGCCCTCTCGAACGTGGTGGCGAGCCGGACGGCGAGCGTGGACGCCCTCTCGTACGTGGTGGCGAGCCGGACGGCGAGCGTGGACGCCTTGTTGACCGTGCTACCGAGCCGGGCGGCGAGCGTGGACGCCCTCTGGAACGTGGTGGTGAACTGGACGGCGAGCGTGCACGACCTCTTGACGAGCGAGATGAAGAGCGGCTGTGGCTCCGCGAGCGGGGCCGAGAAACACGTTGACGTGGCTGTGACCGTGGAGGCGATTTCGACGGAGAGCGAGCCTTGTTCTCAGACTGCTGCGGAGGGCCTGGTGGTGACCGCCGCGCATCGTCCAGACCAGCAGCCGGAGCACAAGCCTTGTCAGCGTCGTCGCTCTCTTCGGCTTTGGCATCGTCGTACGAAAACTGCACCGGGCCATCTCGAGCTCCACCTCGCGCCACGGCTTCGGTACCTCGAAACTGTTTGTCAGCCTTGAAACGCTTTGCATGACCGCCCTTTAGCTCGTCGTACTCCTTATCAGCGTCAAATACACCATCAACATCCTTCGGGCGATACACACTGGCTTTGCCGCGATCCACCATCGGCTTCGAGTAGACACTGTACTCGTCCTCTTGGCCAAAGCCAGAACTAATGCCCTGCGACTGATTAAACAGCCGCGCGTCAAACATGCCATCGCTGCCGCCAGCCCGGCCGCCACCTTGGAGCTGACCCAGCGCAATCTTCTCCGACACGTCTCGGTCTTCATCCCGCGCCAATTTGCCCTTCTTGCCCAACTTCTCCAGGCGCATTTCGCGCTCGCGCTCTTTCTTGCGCTCGCGACGGATACGATCCCGTTCGCGACGAGCCTTCTCGTCGCTCTCACCTTCGTCGTCATCACTCGGCAAGTGCGCCAACGCCTTCTCGCCGGTCATCGAGCGTCCACGTCCACGTCGACTCGACCGACCTTCCTCGTCGTCCCTGTCGTAGCCTGCACCTCCCCCTCGAGGCCCTGCCCGCTCCATCCGAGCCTTGGACGCAAGCGCACGCAACTCGCTCTCCTTGTGCTCCTTCTGCTTCATCGCGAGCTTCTTGTGCACTTGCGCGCGCATGTTCACTTCTTCCCGCGCTTTGCGCTCGGCGATCGCCAGCGCCTCCGACAGACTGGCAAACTGGTCGTTCACAGTCACCTGCTGCAGCCCGCGGCCGTCGGCCGCGAGCCGCTTGTCCAGTGCAATCGTAAACCCCTTTGCGTTCTTCCAGTTCGAAATGCACGGCGGGATCTTCCACGACTGCTGGTCCGCGACCGTCAGCTTCCGCGGCGGCGAGTGCAGCACCGGCACTGGCGGCGACGGCGGCCCCCGCACTGCCTTCGTGTGCCGGAACTTGGGCGGCTCCATGGGGTCTTTCGCCACGTCCGTTATCCGGACAATCCGCTGCTTCAGTCCGCCAGTATCCGACTCCGCAGCTTTCGACTCAGCTTTCGACTCAATAGCTCCTCGCGACTGGTCGTGTGGGGTGTACCGAATGTACTGCGCCGGTCGCTGGCGCGCGACACCCGTCGGCAGAGCGCTCTGCTGCTGCTGCTGCACGTGCGCGTGGAGCGCGTCGCGCGTGCGGACGGCCGCGGCCGCTTCTTCGTCGGGCGACGGCCGCGCATGGGGTCCGGCCGAGCGCTTTTCGACGAGGGCACTAAAGTTGGTGTACACTTTGTGTGCGCGCCGGTGCGTCACAATGGCGTCGTAGTTTACGCGCCCGTCGTCGCCGTGGACGCTTAGAGCGAGGGTGCCTGTATTGAAAGCAAGGGCCGACCGCCCGGGTCGAGTTGTACCCATTTCTAACGGGAATTGGGCCACATGGAGCTCGGGGTACGCCCCGCCGTCGCCAAAGTCGCTCGGGCGCCGCGGGACGAAGCGACTGGCTACCCGCAGCGGGTAGCGTGGGATCGACGGCGCAGGGGGGTGGGGGGATGGCGCGGACGCAGGTGTGGACGCCGCAGCGGCGTCGGAAAACGTCGCGTACGGGCGCACGGGCGCTGGGAACAACGCGCTCATGGGCGGCCGATTGGGTCGAAAATGTGGAGTTGGGTTGGGGGTCGTGGACGAAATAGAGGCGCTCTATTCGAAGCGGCGAGTGTTTTTTTTTCCTGCTTTTCGTGCGCGAGAAAAACCTCGAGACGCGTAATTTACGGGATGCGCGGGCTGGCATGGCAGGCGGCTGCTGCTGCTGCTTTTTATGCTGCGATTTGCTGGGACAACTACGGTCTTTTGACTTTCTTTTTCGTGCTGCTGCTTTTTATGCCACCAGTTCCGAAACGCTTTGCTGGCGTGTCCTGTATTTCACTGCTAAGCTACAGCATAACGTGTTGCATAGCGTCCCCGTGGGGCTTTGCAACGAGTGGCATCAGACCAGTAAGACTCATAATGGCTGAAGCGACATGGCACATGTACGTCCAGCGGTTTTGTTTCCATCGCTCTCGTGTCCAGACGTTCGATTCTCTTTGTCAACATGGAGAGCTGAGCTTCGTCTGTTCTTCCCCGTGTGTCAAGGACCAGTCGGCTGCCGACAACGGTACAGCAGCACCACAGGGCTTTTTGTTACGTGAGTCGCAGCTCGGCCGTGACGTATTTGTCAGTTTAGCATACAGACGTTGACAGTGCGATCGTAACTGCCTCTACCTACATGTTCCATGCACGCTACTCGCTTCAAAGTGTCTTCGCTGGACTCACCGTTCACAGCAATGGCAGACCAGCCATACGATCCGTTCGCATCATAGATGCTATAGGTGACGAAGCACGACTGACTTAGAAGAGCGCGGACTAAAGCGACGTTCACATGCACTGTGGCGACATCGCATCGAAAGCAAAGGAATTGCCGTATACTCTCGAGCTGACTCTGACCACTGATGTTCCGCTCCACGTACGTAACAACGTTTTCTCGTGCATGCTCTCGGCTTCCTGCACGTGAGCAGAGAAGTGACCTCGGGAAGCTCAACTGCATGTTTGCATTGTCGGCGACGCTTTGGCGAACAGGTGACAGTGATCAGCATCTACACGCGCAGATATGTGCGTCTGATTGACGTCAGTAGAGAGACTCTGGTATGGTGGCATTATGGCTCAGTTACGACACTGTGTCCATAGTTTTCGCAAGGTACGCCGTTAGCTCGCAACCGAAGGCTGCATCGTGCAGACCACAGCTATGCAAAGAATAGCCCACAGCCTCATGATTGACAGCTAGACGAAGTTTCGGATGCGTACCTGGAGCAGCGCGAGGCAAGTGCAATCATGTGAGGTCAGTGGAGACCATGTCCATGACAAAAAGCAATGTCGTCTCGAAAGGCTCTTGACGATCCGGCATTGCTCGTACCTGATCGAGCCGGCAAACAACAATATGCAACCCATGTCACCTCTACAGGGAGCCTCATTGCTCAAAGCGTCCAGCTGCTGCTTCAACTACACCATCTCTCGCGCAAACGGCCCAGCCATGCGCGCAGCGTCTCGTATCACTTCGACGCTTGTCGGCAAGAGCCGAGTGCAAGGGCGGCTCGAGGTAGACGGCCCTTTTGTACACGAGCCGTCGATCTGCCCTTGATGAATGACTGGGAACTGGCGGACGCGCTGCAATGGATTAGCGGTCAAGAAGTCGACCGGGGGCAAACATCGAGCACCGGCTACTGCAAGTAGCTCAGTGTCTGCAAAACGGATGTATGATCGGCCCACGACGTGTGGCAGTGCATTCGCTGCTCCTTTTCCAGCTACCAGTGCCAAACCAGAACGAGCGCGCGTGCGTTACGGCAGATTGGCGTATGTGGAAGATGGCAGACCGCAGGCTTTACGTGAGCTGCATTGCTGGTGGGATATGAAACGCCGTGCACGGGATCAGTGTCGTTGTGGAGCTGGAAACAGGACAGCACACACTCAGTGTTGGCGACAGCTACTACAACTACTACATCCCTCGTATCTCGCGCTGTCTACTTTCACGGATACTGTTTACGGAACAGAACGCACAGACTTGTGATCCGGATCACATCATCTTTGGTCCGTCTACCGTCTTCGCTGCTTGAGACTACGCCAAAGCTATTTTTTCTCTCGACTGGACATCGGCTTCCGACCATTTCAAGTCTGGTACTGACACAAAGCTGTACGCAGCTAAAGACATGCAGCACTTGGGGCTCACATACGGCAGAAGAGCAGCTAGACACCCATAGTTTGCCGACAGGATCAGTTGGTAGTGGTATCTCGAGCGGCGCTTTCGTCCGAACAAGCCCACGGTCCAGACATTGGTGCTACAGTCGATGCGTCACTGTTGAGACCACTTCGTGACGACGCAATGAGCGAAAGCCGCATGTACGTGGTGCATCAATTGAGGAAGCAAAGTCGTCTTGACCCAGTTCGAGCGGTCGTCGTCCATCAGTTGAGTAAGCAGAGCAGCCAGTTGACCGCACAGTGAAACAGCGTCGTCGAGAAGGTGCAAGTAGACACAAGAGCCTGTAAAGTGCTCGGAACGGAGCAACGAGGCCGCTCGAGCCCGTAAGAAGGACCAGTCCGTCTCGCCTTCAACTTGGCGTCAGCCCCGTCGTCGCCCCACTCGTGTCACATAACATGGCTGTCAAATCGCCAGCCGCATCATGTGCACTGACTGTGCGCTGCTTTGTTTCCTGTGCTTATCGACATGCAGCTCAGCTGCTTGCAACGACGTGTCAAGAAACAACGCTCTTGCCCCGACACTGGCGCTGAGACGGCACGTGCCACAACACGATGGCATTTTGTTCTCGTGTTTTGTATCTTCTTGTATCGAAACGGCTTCGTACAGCGCTAGCGCCAAACACGCACACGCGTGCGCAACGACAAAGAGCCGAGGGAGAAAACGAGGCAGTCACGCGGGCGGAAGATGGTGGCCGGCGACGACAGCCTCGCGTTGGTAACCACGGGCTGTAATGGTCCCACCCTCGCGACCATCAGGTTCGAAACGCCATTACTGCCCGACCGTACGGCATCAATCGTCGTCGTCGCGTCGTTGATGTTACCCGTCCGTCACTCGAGCGAGGCACCAGGTGTCGACACGGCCCCAATCCGGCGCGAGTTCAACCCCGCTGTGCTGATGACGACTCGGAGGTGACGTTCATCCATTCATCCATTCATTCACTCTTCCATCCATCCATCCATTCATTCATCCATCCACACTCCTCGATACATCCATTTGTTCATCCTTTTACAGACACAACCAGTTACATACCGAAATGCATACACGTCTGTTCTCGTTGTTCGCAAAAGCTGCCTAGAGACAGCAACAACCTCGAGAGCGCTCTTCTTGCCAAGCAGTTTTCAGGCAGAGGTCCTCGGTACTGTGCTTTGAACGGATGGGGATCGATGCATAGATGCCTACCCGTTCGATCGTTCGATCGATCGATCCATTGGTTCTCACTTGCTATCAATCCATTCAAGTTCGCGCTTTCGCGCGCTGTCTTTCTGCCAAGTCCGCCGTAGCAGATCGCCGCGTTGGACAAGCGCTTGCTTCTATGCCACCTGCTCGCGCTGTCCGCCGATTACTCACACTGGGTGGAATCGCCGCGACGGTCCTTTTCTGTCTGCGAGTGCGCCGGATCGACGCGCTCATTGGCGAGAAACCCGCACCCGTCTCGACGCTCATTCGCGCATATCCTTGCGCCCATCCTAAACGGCCATTGTCCGCCGTCTCTCGGGTCTCAGTACACACACACACACACACACACACACACACACACACACACACACACACACACACACACACACACACACACACACACACACACACACACACACACACACACACACACACACACACACACACACACACACACACACACACACACACACACAAACCCACACAGACACAGACAGACACACACACATACACACACAGATAGACAGACAGACACATACACACATACAGTACAAACAGACATACATTCACTCCCAGGCAGACTCACAAGCTAAAAATAGACGAGCGACCCACCCACCCACTCACCCGCTCGCTCTCCGTTCGCCCCTCGTGTGCTGCCACTTGTACGTAGAGGCGAAACGGTCCGTATACGTCGTGCATGAGCCTCGTGACGGCCCGTCCCGCGCCCGACTGTATGCAGCCGCTCGACGCCGCCGCCGCCGCCAGCAGCAGCAGCGACCACGCGCAGCACCTGTGGGAGCACGAGATGGAGCGCTTTGTCGAAACCCGCGGGCGCTCGCGCAGCCGCTCGATCCTCGCAGCCGACACGGACACTTGGCGCGACTCGAACCACCTTCGCGCAACATCCACTCGCGCCCGGAGCTGCTCGTTTTCCGCGCTCGAGCCGCCGCACAGCGTCTCGGCCATTGACTACACATCGGCCGCTACTGCTGCGCTCGTACCGCCGACTGGCGCCTCCCAATGCGCGGCAAAGCGCGCAGCGTCGCTGTCAAAGATCTACTTGGCCGGCTCGGCGCCGGTCGACGTGTCGCAGTTGCAGAGCGGCCGCAGCCACTTGAGCGGCCAGAAAAAGGTGCGCGTGGTGCAGCCCACGGGCGCGTTGTCGGCCGCGGCGCTCGACGCGCTGTCGGAGGGACTGCAGCTGTCGGTCGAGAGCAGTGCGACGCCGTCGATGGCGTCGGCGACGCTCCGCGCCGCAAAGCGCGAGGCGCTCACGGAAGAAGAGCTCGAGGAGAAGAAGATGGAGGAGGAAGAGGACTGCAAGCTCAAGGCCGAGAAGCTGTCGGCGCGGCGGTCGCTGGCGGTCCGGGCCTCGCTCTTTCGCAGCAAAATGATGAAGGGCACGACGCGGTTACTGGGTACAGCGGGGGCGATGGACGAAGGAGCAGCGGCTGCAGCTGCGGTGGCCGCTGCTGCTGCAGCCACAGCGAGTGCAACAGCAGCGGCAGCTGCAGCGGCGCTCGAGAGCGAGCGCAGTGTCGAGTCCCACGCTGGTGCTGGAGCGGACAAGTCGGCGACGACGCTCGACGGTGGTGCAGCGGGGGATGCAGTAGGGACAGCTCTGCCGCTGAAGAAGAAGCACAAGCTGAAGCTGTTGCTGCTGGGCGATAGCGGTACGTGCTTGTCTAGAATGGCGCTAGTGATGAGGCTGGACGTGGGAGGAGGAGATGGGACAGAGTGGCTAATTTGTGGGTGGCGTTGACTGGTCGTCGATGATTTGTTGTAGGGGTCGGCAAAACGAGTCTGATGCGCGTGTTCTCTGGCGACGAGTTTTCGGAATCGATGCTGGCAACGGCAGGGTACGGGATTGTGGTGTTGTGGTCGACTTTGTCGTGCTTGTTGTGCAGTAGTCGCTCACTGCTGTTTGTTGTGGCTGTTGCTTGACTGCGGATTACAGTGTCGACTTTAAGCTTCGACACATTAGCGTCGCCGATGAAGCGATAACGCTTCAGATCTGGGATACTGCAGGTCAAGAGCGATTCCACCGCATTACTTCCAGTACGTTTCAGTGCTGTTAAGTGAGACGACACGGGACGGAGCCTGTTGTGCTGACGATTGCTGTTTGGATTGACTACTTGCAGCATATTACAAGGGTGCGAACGGCATTGTGCTCGTGTACGACGTTAGCGATAGACGCAGCTTTGACAGTACGTTGGAGGATACTGTGTGCGTTCTTTTGCCGCGCTGCGTGCGAATGCATGCTCACTCGCTTGTCACTGTGTACCGCAGACGTTGGCTACTGGATGAACAACATTCGTCAGTACTCGTCGCCGACGCAGATGCCCGCGATGCTGCTTGTAGGAAACAAAATCGATCTGCCGAACCGTGTCGTGGCATCAGAGGAAGGTCAAGCAGCTGCGAGTCAGTACGGTTGTCGATTCATTGGTGCGTGTGCGACGAAGTGCGATCGATGGGGTTTGGACGATCGTGGTCTGACGAGTGGCGCGACGTTTGTATGTGTGCAGAAACGAGTGCAAAGACGTCGGAAAACACCAACGGCGCACTCGAGACGATTGCACGCGACGGGTTTATGATCAGCGTGAATCGTACGTGCCGTCTCGTGTTTCTGCTGCCTCTCGTTCCGCTTGCTAACACGCGTTGTTGCTCGTCTACAGCCACACTCACTCAGAAAATGGTGATGGATCGAGAAAACACGCTGGCTGGACGACGCAACAAGGAGAACTGCGTGATTCAGTAGACGAGAGCTGGTGGGGTTTGCTGCAAGGCGACATTTGAGGGCAACGCGCTTTCACGACTACAGACGACTCTTTCCGAGCACCACAACAGAGGTTGTATACAAGCATGCCGACTCGCCGTCTCGCTCGACGCGGTTCACAGTGGACAATCCCAGGCAGCAGCTGCTTTGTCGCCGCTCGCTATCAGAAGACGTGGGTGGGGCACGGACGGACACAGCGACACACGAAGATGTGCCGCGGTATCCTCAATTCGGGCAAATGACTGCAAAAAAGACTTGGGATATCGGCGTATTGAGCAACAGACACACAGTCTGCTTTTCGTTGCGAGCCGAGCGGAGGAGGGACGAGAAGCGAGCGCGCGAGCATGAGCCTATATTTATCGGGATGGCTGACAGAATATTCGACATGAACCGAATCTGTTTAAACGACGATAGTTTGTTTATACAGACGACAAAATCCGTGTCGATCGATCGGTCTACTGCTGCTGCTCCTCGTCGTCGGATGGCGCAGCGTGAACACGTGAGCGCAAGAACTCTTGTGCCTCTACTTTACGGTTCGGATCGTTCATTGCCTCCATAAACGCGCGCGTCTGTTGCGCCCGTGCGCGGTACGAAGCCGTGCACAATAACCTTCATATAGGAATACCATAACGACACGGGAGTTTAGGACACCAGGCTGGTACGTCGACTAAAAGCGTTTCAACAAGCATTTTAAGAAATGTATTTTTTTTCCGCACCAGCTCCCGCTTCCGACGAGTCCGAACGCAAAGACGGCCCCGTCACAAGCTTTACGCGCACTTTTCGTGATGCGAAACCGGTGCGCTCCGATGGCGACGCCCATGGCGATGCCCCACATGAGCCCTGAGCGGAAGCATGGCGGGTTCTTGAGCACAACGTCGGTCGACGACATGATGAGGTCGTGTGTGCGTGTGTGTGTGTTTCAATTAAAGCCCACGAAACGGACGCGACGGATGGTGTTTTATCTCGATGGAATCGATGCGCTAAAAAGCACGTTTTCCTCGTCGCGGGACAACCTCGAGCAAAGCACAAGATAGCGGTTGCAGAGCTCTTTTTTGGCACTGTAAAATACGCATACATTACCAACGCACAGCATGAATTTATAGAAAGCAAGTGACAGCAATGCACAAGTACTATTAATGAACACCGTAATCGCACCGATACTGTGCGGAGCAGTAATAGCACGTCGTACATCCGTTTGCAACGCTCTGGTACATAGTGTGCCGAATGGGCCTTGACAACATGTGGCCCATCATCCACTTGTAGAGCGTATTCCTCCGTTGTTGTAAATCAACTCGCGCTGACTGTGTGGCCGCGCGCGAGTGGCTGTCCTTCGCGTCCCCGAGCAGCCCACAATCCGTCTTTGTTGACCTCATTTTCTTGCTCTAAATCGAGCTGTAGGCTGGAGCTCGAGTCGACTGTACTGCATACTCAACGTCTGGTTGTTCGCTCGTCCCTTGTGAGCCGACGCGTGACTTCAACGTGGTCGATAGAAAGCAGGTCTTCCGGTCACGAGCAGTTTGTTCCCACGAAGTCAGTACGTGCACTCGAAGGTCGCGTCGGTAGTGCTGTTTAAAACCGCAGTTGCATTGCATCAACGTACGGACGCTGCAACCTCTGGCAGTGCTCTAGGAAACCTGGTCGATCATCGAATTGCCATTGCCAAAGTGAGTCTAAAGTCCAGCGTTGGGACTTGGCGAGAAAGTGGCCGAGCTGCAGTCGCGTGTCACGTTGGACAAGTGCTTTGGCATTGCCATATTTGTGTGCATGACGTCAGTATGTAGACGAGGAACACGGCTTGATCGATCGATCGCTGGGCAAGAGAAGTCAGTGAGGCAAAGCACGCACACTTCTGTGTCAATACTGCATGACTGGAAGCCATTTACATCTGGTAGCTTCAAGCTGCCGGCCTCGAGCTCCGTGTGGATTTCGTTGCAGGACAAGTAATGCCATGGCGCGTTTCCCATTAGTTTCGATCGACGCTTTTCTTCTGCGTGACCAGCGCTCGTCATTGCTCCTGCATAGCAGTACTGCGAGTCGAATGCACGTATTGGTCCACTTCCATGATAAGGTCAATTGCTATGGCTCTATGGCGGTGACCGCTAATGTAGCGCAGCTATATATGCTCTGCTTCAACACACAAGTCAACAATGAGAACGAACGAACGTGCACTCGTCTCTGTCATTCAGTGCAAGTAGGTTGACAGCAGTCGGTCAGTCTTCTACCATGTTACTCTCACTACGTTGAAGTAACAGGCCTTTGCAAAGGATAGACCATTCCTAAACAGCCCTTTTCGAAACAGCCCTTTTCTAAACCTAGAAACCCTACAAAGATCTGATACTGTAGGTCCAAGTCGCCCTCTCCAGCTCTATCTGCTCTCGAGGTCGTGTTCCGATGCTCTACGGCTTAGCTGAGCACCCACCTACTTAGAAGTCCAGCGAGAGCAACGTCAACGTCGTCGAGTACAGACGGCCAGAGGTTCGCCACCGCTGCTCGTTGGTCGATCAGAGTATCGAGAGATGGTGCCCATGAGCGAGGAAATGCTGCAATGTCGATCTAGTAGGAGTAGTACGTGGGGCTTCAGTGAGTAAACCCAATGACCTGTAACGGGGCAAGTGGTCGAAGCCTTCCGTAAGGAACGCGTTCTGGGAAAGCAGTCGTGATGATGGCCAATGTCCTTACGCTGCGTCTAGAAGACGACCCACACGCAGTCGCACGAGAGCAGTAGCAAAGTCGCAGCATTGGGAAAGCTGGAGATTTGCTCGTGCAGAGCTTTGGCGGATCAGGTCGCGCAGCGTTAACAGCCACTGCTTCCAGTCGGGTCACGATAAGGTCTGTGGTAGCAAAAGCGTCGAGACGGGAGCGGTAGAGCTCCGACTCGATGAGGATATCGCGAGACTGTCTACTGCCTACGCGTTTCCTTGAAGGTCAACAGCAATCGCCTTCCCAGCGTACGCTTTCGATCGACATACTGCAGTTATCGCTATCGAGTCGTCAACTACCGCTGCGGTGTGTGTGTGTGTGTGTGTGTTCGCAGCAGTGCGTCGAACTGCTACGAGAAAGCTACTGACAGAAACGAAAAAGCTGCTCGAAAAGTGCGACGACATGTGTCGGTTGCAGGGGTCTGTTGTCCAGTCCACTGGCGATGGCGCTCCAACTACCTCGAGCCAAAGCACCACAGCCGTAGAGCACATGCCCAGCAGTGCAACGCGTTGCTCTCTTGTCGTGCTACGACGCGTCCGTCGTCCGCAACGTGCAGTTGGCACCAGTGAGTGAAATCAGCTCGAGAGATCGCTGGATTCCATGCGACAGTAGCTACTCGTTTGGCTCTGTCTATAGAGCTGCACCCGACCTGTCGACGCATCGAAGGGACACGAGCGATCGAGAGGTCGATAGCGACGACCAGTCCGTCACTACCACGTGCACTGTTGCCCACGTTCGACTTGCCACGTCGGCGGGTTACATAGTCGCAGGCGGCAGCTGCGACGGCTGCCGTCCAGTCGTTCAGAGACTTTTCGAGTTCATTTCGAGTAACTGCTCTGCTTGAAGAAAGGGGTTACACGTTATGACCCACAGATCGATCGATCGATCGGTCGATCAATTGATCGATTGTTCGACGGCGCTGCGGATCACTCATTCCCGAGCGCCCACTCCCCGCGTCCCGCGTCATATCTCACGGCCGGCGCAGAAGTAGCAGCAGCAGATCTCCTCCTCGCCGATCGCGCGTCTGGTTGAACTTGACGTCCGTCAAGTTCAACAACTGCTTTGCTCGAGTGGTTTGGTTCTTTTTTCGGTGACTGGCCCGGTTGAAGACGGGCCGAGCCGCGCGATCCGACCTCTTTTTGGGACGTTTGGAGCCGGGACACACGCAAGGGCAGCGAGATAGATGTGCAGTACATGTGTGTGTGTGTGTGTGTCTATCGTGCACGCGTGCAAAGCGAAATCCAGTGTGTTGAAGTAAGCGCATAAATCCACCGCTGAATTTGTTGCCCTTGCGCCTTCCGCGCGCGCGAAAACCGGCCACCTCCTGGTCCCGCGGCTTCCTTGCGCGGTATATACAGGATAGCGGCGCGTCCGTGCCCTGTCACGACGCCTCCAACCAGCTGGTGCGCAGACGCCCGAGGCGTCAGGCGCACACTGTTGTCGCGTTGCGCGATCCAATGCAGTCAGTAGTTGTAGCGCCGTTTAATCCGAAAACAACACGACTTCAACTGCACCGGTCGCAGTGTTCCCCGATCCGAAATCACACGGACAGAATGCATTCGCGCGCAGTCGATACATATGTCATTGCTCGCTCGCTCGCTCGCTCTCTCTCTGCTATGGTTCAACCCGCCTCCGGCTCTGTGGCCATGTGCTGTGTTTCAACGACCTGAGTGAGTTTAGCGGCCCACGCGGAGATGCAAAGACGGAAAGAAAAAGAAAAAAGAAAAGAAAAAAGAAAACGAGAGAGGTCGGGAGTGCGTTGCGTTGTGCCTCGCGGGCGTAAAAGTCGTGCGCGTCATCACGCGACCATCAACGACGAAAGTGCTGCTTGGCGTCGACTGCTACTACTGCAGGAGGAAGTTGCAGTACAGTGCGACCGGTGACTGGCGTCGGGTACACCACTGACACGGAGCGCGGGGGGGGTTTTTTTTTTTGGTGAGCGGCCGCCCTCCACCCCAACAAACTGCAACTGCAACTAACTAAACAACTCACCGACATAAACTGTCCGTCCGTCCGTCCGTCCGTCCGTTCGTCCTGTGCGACAAGAAGCGCCACGTAGTCGTCCCCTCCCTCAGTCAGTTTCCATTTTGCCTCGTCCAGCGCACCACTACACCCACCTACGACGACGACCCGTCTCTCTCTCTCTCTCTCTCTCTCTCTCTCTCTCTCTCTCTCTCTCTCTCTCTCTCTCTCTCTGTCTGTCACGACAATGCAGTGGTTCAACATGGTCCAAGTGCTCGCTCTGGTGCTCGTCGCGACAACGAGTGGCATCGCCGCGTCGAACAGCAGCGGCCTCTCGACAAGTGCCACTGCTGCTGCGTGGTGCAATCGACGGCCACAACGGCGTTCACGGCGAGACGCCGACTGGAGCGACTGCAGCCACTGGCGACCGATTGAAGGCGTCGCCCGCCGCGAAACACGAGGACGGCGACGGGACGACGACGAGGAAGTGCAGTCCGAGCCAAAGTACAATGCCGACGGCACGGTCGTCGTCTCCAAGTACTACAAAAACGGCGTCAAGCAGAGACTCGCGCACTGGTGGAACAGCCTCGTGAGTCAAAGACCGGCGCGCCGCCTGCGGGAGGCGTAGGGCCGCGTGGTCAGCCCGATCGCGTCGGGTCTCGTCGTCTGTAGGCCCCACCCCACCCCACCCCATCCATTCCTTTCGCCCGCCCTGATTCATCTGTCGCCCCATTTCGTCCGACTGTAGCAGCAAATAAAAAAAGTGTCGTTCGGGCTGGCAATCAAACAAACCCCTCGCACTTTTTTTCAACGTCTTTTTCTTGTTCGTCTTGTTCTCGTTTGTTTCTGGCCGTCGTGGTCAAAGCAGTCGAAAAAAATGTGCTTTTTTGTTGCGCTGCGCGGGGGTGGCCGCGGGTGCGGATGCTCCTCGATCCGTGAATTGGGCCAATGCGTGCGCGTCAAGTAGGCCGTGACCTGTACTGAGCTACTTGCTGCCCTCGAAGTGGTGGCTCTTGTTGCCGTGAATGCTGTTGCGTGATAAGAGCATCACGTAGCGATAGGATCGCTTGCTGTGTTGTTCCTTCGGGTCCTCTTTTCGAGGGCATGTTGGTGATGGCGTGCATTGCCTCATTGGACATCAATACGTCTTTCAGTAGTCGCAGTGGCTGGCTCGCACCAGAGACGTGCTTTGCTGCACACTTGTGAATGTCAGGCGAACAAATGACTGCATCGAATTGTGGGACGTGGACCGAACGTCTTTGCCCACTTTTGCGCACACTTTTGAGTCGACCAAGAAGGCTGCGGGAGGCTGTGTATTGCATTCGGGTAGCTCGCTTTCGAGTTGCTGTACGTACTGTGGTGGAGCACAGTACCGCACGGAAGCCAGAGCCACATTGTAAGCATACATGATAACAGCCATCCGAAAGCAGCATACTATCAACCAGCTATCTGCAATTTAAAGTATGCGTAAGCCATCGCGTAGCAGGAGGGCTTTTGACCTTCTCATGTGCTTTTCCACGCCCTCTCGCTGCAAGAAACGTAACACACTACAATGCACGATGTCCGTGTACTTGACAGCTGCTCTGTTGCTGGGTACACGACGGTCTCCTTACCCGATGTACGAGTCGAATGGGTACTTGGACGGTGTAGCGTAGTTCGTGCTTTGCAGCGCTCATTTGGTCCAATGTCGATCGGTTCGTTGTTGTTCTCTTGCAGACGCATAGAATCGATCGAGCGACACGACGCGACACTAATCAAGCGACTCGAGACGGTGTATCCTGCGAGAACGTGCTGCACGTCGCTTTTGGTAGATCCATGATATGGTCTGCTGCAGCACTTGCTGAGCGGCCTTTACAACTTGTTTGCGTGCCAAATAAGTCATTGCCTGTGCTGAAACGCCTGCACTTCGACACCCCATGTGTTCTATGACTCAACAAAATGTCGTCGTGACGCCATCACCAGCGAGGACTTCCTCTAATCAGATGGCAACAAAGTCGATCGACAGTGCTGGCCGATCGCGCTACACCTATCGCTGCAGCGGCCATCACTTTACGACAGCACCATTTGCATTCTCTCGCGGCGTGGACCTCAATTGAGCAGTATATAAAAAGCAGTGCCTCTGAAGCGACGCGATTGGCAGAAACGCACTACCACGTCTCATGTCGAGAGGCACGTCAGTTGCCCGGGAACTGACGGGCAAACGAGGCGCTGGTCCTTCGTGCAACATTTACTTGTCTTTCTCTGCTCTCTCATAAGTTGACGCCAGCGTGAAGTTCCCTCGCAGAGTCTGTTAGAAGTTGCGCGGCGATCCATAGAATGAGGACAAAGGTGCACTCCGGACTACAGCTTCGAGTGCTATCGCTGTACAAAAAGGTACTGCAGATAGCCACGCGGAAGGACGTCGACACGCTGCAGTATGTGCGCGAGCGCTTTCGCGAGGACGTACGGCGTCTGTAATGCTCGGCTGTCGTCCTGTGTGTGTGTGTGCGTAGATGTACTGACATAGCGCACAATGTGTGTTCGATGTTGTGTATTGGACGCTAAACTAGGCAGCTGCAGTGGACCGGACGAATTTCGTCCTGATCGAGCATATGTTGCGCAAAGGAGAGCGCGACGTCCAGCAACTGCAGACAATGAAGTCAGCGCACTTTACACGAGTGTCGCACGCAAAGTAGCGGCAATCGAATTTTGTTTATGGGATCGATCATTCGGTCGCAATCTGTGCCAAACACTGTGCTGCAAGTTGCTCGCAGACGAGGGACGACGAGGTGGAATGCCCTCGTGGACATTACTCGCCGACTTTGAAGAGGATCGAGGGAGGACCTGTTTCATGAACCGAGTCACGACTGGACCAAAATCGAACCACCAGGTTGACATTCTGAATGAATCCCAAAAGTAAACAGCGCAACGTCTGTACACTGTCACTTCCGGTACATCACACAACTTCAGTGTATCCGATGCCTTCGATCCTCATTCGCCAGCGAACGGCCTATTCGCACACGCACATGATAAACAATTGGTACGACGAAACAGTGCATTGTCTCATCTCACGGCGTTGACGACATCAACGACAGTCTCTTTGTGTTCATGCGATAGTCCTGACAATGGACAACGCTCACAGCACAGCTGCAAGAAAGAAAAGAGTCTGTCGTTCGTTCGCTTCCCAGCCACATTGGACTCGATACGCATTCGACACGCAACAAAAGACAAGACCCGATAGAGGTACCACCACTTGTTTTCCACATAGAGGTGAGTGCATCCTACAGACCTTTCCCGTACTCAATCACCACGCAAAGCGGCAACACTACACTAACCGCCCGCGTCGCCCACTGGATTCAGCTACATCCATTCACTCGACTCCCGCTCACGCGTGCGCTGTACAGTGCTCCGATAGGAATCGCCCCATGTTTCGGAACGCTTGGGCTGCCATTTCCGTGAACAGCGACCAGTACTTCCCCGCAGCGGTACCCGACTGCCGCGTGGCACGCACGCCCCACGTTGCTGCGGTCCTGACATGCGAGTCAAAGTCTTCCACCAGCCATTTCACCAACGTGCAAAGGTACAGCCAGGCTGTCGTGCCCTTCAGAGCAATCATCTGGATCGCCTTTTCGGTTCGAGTCACAAAGGGGTCCGTGCTATCGACAACCCACGCGGGAACAATCGCGCGAAGCTGCTCCAAATTCTCTTCGGCTTCTTGTAGCACGGCCAGCAGCATTTGCGTCTCAGTGACTTCGATCGGCTCGAGCACAAATTGGTACTCGGGTTGCCACGCTTTGCCCGCGATGGAAAACTTCAGTGCGAAATCGAGCCGCATGCGGTCTCCACCCATTCCCAAGAGGTCCACTTCGAAGTCGCTGGTTCGGACCGCCTCCGAGCGCGCGAGGCTCATCTATCATAGCACATCATTAGTCTTCACTACTGCAGCTAACCGAACAGCACAGCCCAAATACGTATACAACTACGTCGTACGCCGAGATAATCCATGACGAGGTCATGGGGAATGCTCGCGCCCTTTAGCGCAAACTCGTCCACGGACGGTACTGTACATTGCCTATGGCACCATTCCCACATGCAACTGAGCCATACATACAAACGCCTTCAAAGCGTAACGACGCGATCGATCCAAACGACAGACCACTGCTGTTTTGTCGCCTGTCGTTCAATCCAAATCTTCTCGGGGAACACGGAGAAGCGAAACACGGCGTCTTGCTGCGAGCTGAACGTCGTTTTGCCCGTTTTGATCGCCACGTCCGTTGGTTTCGTCATCGCGTTGGGGCTAAGACCAGATTCGAAAATGACCAACGTGGGCGACGACGTGTTTCGTGTGTTTCCAACGATCTCGTTGTTGTGCATTGGACCAACACGCGAATCACGTTGTGCGTTGCACGGAAAAGTCCGCAGAAAGATCGGAACGGGAACGAATGCAGTCCAACACAAGTGCTTTCGACGAAGCGACAGGGCGATGCAATACTCTCATCGATCCGATGCAGCTGAATGCTGTGTGGTCTACTACTGTCACAGCTACTGCTACTACTGCTACTGCTACTGCTACTACTGCTACTGCTATTACTGCTACTGCTCTAGCAACTGGCACGATGGGTTTTCGTGCGGTTCCTTTGCTGTCTTGACGCTGCAATATCTTGCAGAGATTCACAATTTCAAATGAGACTGTGCTCATGTATACCTCATGCCGACTAGCACCGACCACTTAGACTAGGTGAGAGATAGACGATATCGAGTGCCCGTACCAACGTGTTGCACCTCAAACGCATGTCCGAACGCCTGCTAGTTTGAGCTATCGATGTTGTCCTGGATGTGAGCTTTGTATGCAAGTGCCGGCAATATCTTGACGCAGTCTCGACGCTCGTGTACATCCCACTCGTACATCTCGGACGGTTTCGTCAAAGTGACGCGAGAGAGCTTCTTGTGCTCGCCAGGCTCATCAGACTGGCCACCAACGGTTGTACTCAGCTAACCAACAGACAGACAATGTACGCGTCAACTTGGTCGACAACGCTTCTGGCTTGCTCTTGTGGATGCGATATCGAGTGGGATCGACACACAGTGTGCAATACTCGTCATGGACAGTCACAAGCCAGGACATCGCGCTCGTCGTTAGCTCTTGTCGATCCTTGGACGCAAAGACTGCAAAAGGATTGTGCGCTTTCCAAGTCGCTTCCAGCACGAGTTACATACTTTGCCAGCAGCCATCGGTAGACATTGGCACTGGAAACCGAGCTGCGATGGCTATTTCGCCACGAGGAACAGTGCCACGTCGTGACGCCTTCGGCATCTTTTCGATGACCGGCGTAACTATGTCGATCAGCTGCACGGCTTCCGCGATGGGTCTTGAATTCCAACCAGAAGTCGTCCCGATTTCAGCTTTGGCTCGACTCAGTCGTCAGAAATGGACAGTCAAGCTCAGAACGGCAGAATCTGGGAGAATGCCGCGTAATGCTTGCGAATGATCGTAACGTGCTCTTGTCGATTCCGATTGCATGAAACTCTTGCGAAGCGTGCAAAAGTGCTGCACGTCTCACAGCTCGTTGTATCTGCCCAACTACTGAAGACCAAAGCAATCCAACGGGCGAGAAAAGCTTTGACGAATCTACCGACTTGTTGATGCTACGGTTATGACATGCAACAAACGGTTTTGTATGAGCACTCACGTACTTCTCGACAACTCTTTGCTCGAACTTTTGCTTTCGTGGTACAATGTCAGGTTTCTTCACGGTATGGATGGGAACAACTACCCAGCAAACGACACACAAAAGTGTCCGCTGCTCACGTCGTTCATGCATCTGGAGTTTGTGTGAATAGGGAGAAGCGAAACGATTCGATCTCGCTGGAAAGTAAGTACCTGCTGCATCATTCACGTCACGGCTCGGAGCCATCATACTCGATCGTATTCATGATGCTCATGTGTCAGTTCTGCTCGAACGAGAAGCAGCCAAACACTTGACGAGCGTGAAAGGTTTGGCTTTCTTGCAACGTCCTAAGAATGTTGCTACACGCAGACTCAGACTGAAAGAGACTTCGGCTTCGACGGAGCTTCGAATTAGTTTCAGGATAGGTAGTCGTCGACACTGTTGATACGAAAGTAAAGACTCATTCGACTAGGTACATGTAGACACACTTGAGTTAAGCAATCGATCAGATAAGCAGCAAAGGTGTTTTTGCTCAGGAGCTTTTTTCTGATGATCGTGTAACTTAGGATCGTGAGTTTGGCATGATGTTGTTGGTAGAATCCATGCACATGCGAGCCGTGCGTGATGACTCTTTACCGAACATTACAAGCGTTCTTTGGCAACAACAGCTACACCATAGCACCTTATCGTCGCTCAAAACACGTGACACGGCGTCGGTGCCATCTCACATATGGGCTTTTGATGCAGTCCCGATCCCGTGACGATCATCATTCGCTCAGCCTGCACCGTCATTGCCACTTCTCCCGTGCGCCAAACACCCGAATGTTTCCACCACATCCACGCGATCGAACTTTGCAAAGTGACGCTCGACAGCTCCAGACCACAGCCATCTCAAGCGATCGAACACGTCGGAGCCAACGTCCATTCAGCTGCGCATTTTATTGCTTTGTGATGAATCATCCAGGATCGGCAACGCGCGGTCTCTTTCCAGAATGTCCTCCCTACTACCTATACTATTCATCTATGTCTCGCGTCGCAGCAACAACCTCCCGAGTGACGTCACCCTCAAGTCATATCGGGGGTGTAAGCATCGTGCAGAGAGAAAGTCCCACATCCATGCTAGTTTGTTGGGCTGCGAAACTACCAGTGTCTCTAGCTCTTGAAGCTCCTCGGCTCTTTGAACATCACCACCACACACGTCACGTTATCCGTTGAGCGCTGATGATAAATGGCATACTCCACGATTGCCTGCACTCGAGCAAACAAGTCAACATCAGTCAACCCGAAACTCAGATACTTTCATGAACCACAGGCACAGATAGCGCAACATACCTCTGCCGCGCGCTGAACATCGCCAAGCTGCTCGATCTTATGACGCAAAAAGTCGACAGCTTCCTGGTCTTTGATGACGTCGTACAGACCGTCACTGGCCAACATAATAAACTCGCAATCATCTGTGAGCTCTGTCACTGTCACCTCGGGTGTAGGAATAACCAGCGGCCCTTTCAAAATGTCGTTCGGATTGATGGGCAATTCCTGTGAATCGTAATCACTACGTGGCTTCGAGCCCACGTCTTCGAGTGGCGGCTCAAATAAATCAAACGTCTTGAACGGTGCGTCGCCGAAAGCTCGAGAAACGGCAAGCTCTCCCATGATGCGTCCGTGAATGACAAAGCCACCAGTGTCACGAATACGCTGCGCTTCGTCCGGCCGACTCGGTTTGTGATCATTCGACAGACGCTCGGCCTTGCCCGCGCGACTCAAGACTGTCCGGGAGTCGCCAACGTTTGACACAAACATGTACTTGCCTGCCACCAACACCGTCGTTGCTGTACTTCCAGCCTGAGGACGCTCCGATTCATTCAGAAAAGCCTCGTCCGTCTGCTCGAAAGTTGTCGTCAGTCGCTTTGTAATCATTGACTGCAGCTCTTCCGGCGACTTGTTGGCCAGCGATCCCCATTCCGCCTTCTGCATATAGAACGCGTCCACGATATTCAAATGCAGCACTTCGCCCAAGTACAACGATGCTTCCTCGCCGCCGTGGCCATCGTAGACAGCAAAGTACGACTGGGGATGCAACCCCAAGCGGCTCAGTGACTCGATACACATGTCTTGAATAACCGTGTGCGCATCCTCCATGTACTTTCGAGTGCCCATATCCGCGTGAGCGCCAAAGTCAAACCGGTTGACTGTCAAACAAGTCTGTGCAATCAGCAAGTCATCGCCAATCTCCAGGCGGTAGGGTTCCTGATAGCTCCCCACGAGCTTCATAAAGGTGCCATTCGTCGAGTTCAAGTCAATCAGAAAAAACTGGTTCGTCAATTCGTCAAACCAAATAGCAGCGTGTTTGCGAGACAGTTCACCGTCTCCCGTGTGGATCTTGTTTTCCGCCGATCTTCCAATGCCGGCACCTTCAGGTCCGATCGTGAACTGCGTGCCTGCCAGCTTGCCACTCAGTGCCGACACTTCCAACGTCTGCGACGCTTCGTGAAAAGCAGTAACCATAAAGTCCGACTTGCCCACACGAAACGACACGTGCGGATCTAGTGGCCACTGCATTCGATCTGCTGCGTCCGTTTCATCGCCTGTTTCGCACGGACTCAGCCGAACGAACGTGTCGCCCACGTCGTCTCCATTGACCAAGTAAAAGCGTCCACTGGTGTGCAAAATACGAGCGTGATCTTTCGCGCCAAGAAACTTGTCCGCTGGGATGCTCGCCACATTGTCAGCACTGCTGCCGATACCTCCTCCAGCAGTATCAAACACAAAACTCGTCACCGCATCTTCTTCTGAGAACGCAGTCATTTTCAGCACCACGTGCGTCCAGTTTTGCTCCACGTACAGCGGAACTTCGCCGTCGTCAGTGCCGCCACTCGCATATGGTGACAGCGTGGACGAACACGGCGCAACTACCGCTTCCGACGACTCTGGAGCTACTTCTGCCGTCTCTTTTTTCGCCGAGTCTGTCTCGACTGCGTCTGACTTGCTTTCGGGGTCACTTGCTTTGCTGTTGGGAGCGCTTTTGCTTTTGCTACTGCCGCTTTTGCTGCTGTGGCTGTTGCTGCTGCTGCTGCGGACGTTTCCAGACACGACTCGAGCGCTGCTAGTACTTGATCGAAGGAGACGATTCACGCCGGACGTGCGAGCACGAACAAACGATGTGGTCCCTTTACGAGCATTCTCCGACTCTAGTGCACGCAATGGCATCCAACAGCCCAGTCGCAACAATACCACCACCGCCAACAGCAAAAGCAACCATAACAGCAACAACAATTACCATCACATGGTAATGCAACAATAGTGACAAGCATTGCAATACGTGCAATGATATCAGTTTAAGCAGCAGCAAGGTAAAAAACAAATCAAGAGGAAAAAACAGCAATCGAACGATAATAACAGCAGCAGCAGCAAATATGGAGCGAACAAGATAATAAAGCCATAGGCACAACAACAATCGAACAACAACAGTAGCAGCAATAGAACAGCAGCAATAGAACAGCAACAAGAATACACAACAACAATAATCATAATACAACAACAACAACAACAATAGCAGCAGCAGCGGTAGAACAACAACAAGAACACAACAACAACCGTACAATACAGCCATAGAACAATAGAACAATACACCAACAGACAGCAAGAACGGCGCACGGTCAGCCCCGTGAACAACATCGACCGACAGACGAATGAAGAGCACATACACGCTCCCAATACTTCACAACGTACGCAGAGGTTCGAGCCGCAGCGTGGACGACCGCCGTCGGTCGTGATCGTCGTGTTTCCTCGCGACTGCGCCACAATGCACACACCAACCGACTCGTCAGCGGAGGCCAATACCGGTACAAAACTTATCTGCTACTGCCTCGGTAACCACACGCGAAACGGTACGAGACCTGGCATCTTGAGCGTCTGCACGTCCTGGCCGTCCGACATGGTGCGGGTGGACAACGCTCGTCGCTGCGTCTACTCCTGTGCGAGAGAGAGTGTGTGTGTGTCTGTGTCTGTCTGTGCGTGTCTCGTTCTCGGCTCTTGTCGCTGTGGCGGCTTCAATCGAGTGCCTCTCGACGGTATTATTGCTGCGGTTACGCGGTCTCTGTCGTTCACTATGAGATGTCACTGACGACGCGGCCGCAGTCTCTGCCGCCGGTTTGTCACAAATACTGCGCTGATCGGTACGGATCGAGCCTACCGGTACTAAATCAGGGCGAGCACACAACGTGGACAGGGGAAGGTACCGACCGATAAGAGCAAACGAGACACGAGAGCGAGAAAAAACCGGTCACCGTCTATGCCGTCAAAAAGGTATACACGGACGCGGCTCGAGAGAGGGCTCGAGTCAGAACCACTATCATTGCGTCGTGACTATACATGCACAAAGACGAGCGTCCAGGAGTTGCAACACGGACAAGGAAAAAGCACCTGTTGTATACACCCCGCCGTCCAAATCGTCAGCTTCTTGCGTCGCAGCTGATTCACTTGAACAGGTTCTTGTATACACGGTAGTCACACACGCCACATGCGACAACACATCGAGTCCCACTAGACGCCCAGTCTCAGCTGTTGTCTTGTCAAACTTGAGCTCCTCGTCGAGTTGCATCGCGACGAGCTCACAACCTCATCACCAGCGACTTTGGAGCAATTGAGACGAAACAATGAGCTTTCGCGTCCTTGCAGCAACAACAACTGCGACGGCAGTCCCTCCTACCTGTATACCCACTCGTCCCCTTTGCACCAGTGCGTAGAGCCATCGACCACTACGAGAGGACACTATGGTGACCGGCACTCGATCCGTCGTCACTCTCTCTGTCTGTCTGTCCGTCTGTCCTTCTCCTTCTCCATCTCTTGCAGTCTCTCGTTTCCAGGACGTAACCACACAACAGACGCGAATCACACACACACGACAGTTGTCTTAATTACACACTAACAAAGCCGACCGCAGCGCTCTAGTACTCGCTGAAGCCGCTGCTCGTAAAGCTCTTTCCGCCGTCATATCGGCCGTCGTACGTGCCGTCACTCGGCGCAAAGCTCGTGTCGTACCCCTTGCTGCTCTGTGCGTGGCTGTGGCCATTGTCCCTCGACATGCGGTACTCAGTGTACTCGGACTCCATGAACTGCGTCTTGCCAGTGTATGCACTCGCAGACGTCGAGCGCGAGTTCGAGGCGTCAAACTGCGACGCCCCCATCATGTGATGATGGTCCACTCTACTGCCTGGCGCGCGCTCGTGCACGGCGGCGTTCCAGTCGTTGTTTGTGCTGGCCATGTCACTCATCGACTCGCCACCAAAGTCGCTCTCGCCTTCCGAGTACTCGGCCATGTCGTCTTCGCGCTCGCCTGGACGATAGCTCGCGTACTTGTCCATTGTCGACGCCGTAGCGGAAGTATACGCGCTGTTCTCTCCGTAGAAGTTCGACTGCGTCGTGTACTGCGAGAACTCACTGCTCGCCATGCTCTGACCCGTTTGAGCCATCGGGGGCAACGACATTTGCGACTGCGTGAGCGCTGTTGACGCACGAGGTGGGAACATGTCGAGGTCGGGATCGTACTTTGGCTGCCCGTGCAGCGCGTTGCTCGCGAAAAAGTCGTCGTCGCCGTAGCCGGCTGGAGTCATGTTCTTGTCCTTGTGGTAGTCCGCTGTCGCCGACAAGGAGCGCGCCATGGGTCCACCCAAGTTCGGGTCCTGTCGATGAACTGGGAAGAGCACCGGGTCCGCTTCGCCCTTGTTCTTGGCCGACTTGATGTAGACAAAGACGCCGACGAGCACGACAAGGGCCACGGCCCCTGCCATCATCAAGCCGAGCACGAGCGTGTTGGACGTGACGCTCTTGTCACCCGATGCCTTGTCGGCCATTGCAGCGGTCGACGACGACGAAGCCGGCGAAGCCGACGGCGGAGATGCCGCCGACGGAGGCGACGACTCGACCAGAGCGCTCCGTGACTCTTGCACCGGGTCATCGTCCGTCAACGATCCGGACGGAGGCGCGTCGCGAGGTGCCTCGATGCTCGACTTGGGGAGAACGCCCTTCGCAGACGAGTTCGACGCCAATCCAGACGAAGGAGGAGTGGCCTCCTCCTCCTCTTCTTCTTCCTCTTTTTCGTTTTCTTCCTCTTCGGATCCCGTCGACGGCACTCTATTCTCGGCCAACTTGGCCATCTTCGATCCTGCCGGGTACACCACGCCCGGCTGCGATTCCGACGTCGCACCCGATGCTTTCGAGTTCGACAAGGGCGTCTCGGGCACCTCCTCCTGCGTTGTCGAGCCCGTCTTGTCCGCCTGCTTCGATTCGTCGTCGTCGTCGTCTGCCGTGCGAACTGCGTCCGGCACAGGCGTCGCAAGCAACAGACTTGGCGACTTTGTAAACGCAATGAACTTCCGCTGCCTCCTCGTCCGCCGCTGCCGCATCGCCGCATCGGCAGTCGGAAACTCCGATCGCGATGGCAACGCAGCGGTTCCCTTCGACTGGGCCTCGGGCTTCGGACCACCACCTGACCGGCCCGAAGACTCGTCGTCGTCCCGTGCCGGAGGTGCCAACGGGTTCCGTCGACGATCGACTGTCGCCGGACCTTCGGGCGCAGGCGTCGCGGCCTTCTCACTCGAACTATCGTCCTCCGTTGATAGGGACCCCGAGGCCGGGGCGGCTTTGCGTGGCGCCCAGGCACGAGTCGGCTCCTTCGCATCGGGCGGTGGTGTCCCTCCGTTCGAAGGCTCGTCGGGCTTCTCGTCCGACTTCTCCGAAGGGCTCTTGTCCTTCTCCAGATCACTCAGCATCGTGTACACCTGTGCGTTTGTCAGTGCACTCACGAGCACGACCGCCCCGAGCACGAGCTTTCGCCAGCAGCGCACCGCGGGCTTCATCGTCCAGTCCAGAGATCGGTCGTGACCAACCGGCGTTGCACTCGACTGCCGTTAGTTAGGGGGGGGCAGGTCGAGTCAAGTTGCAGTACTCGCGTCAAGTGGTCTGCTTATATGTCGACTTTTTTCGCTATCGTCTGTGTGTCTGTTCAACGTGAGCGGGTCGAGAGAGAGAGAGAGAGAGAGCGAGAGACGACGACCACTTTGGTTGTCGAAGCACTTGTGTGGGGCGCGTGAGCGCGCACTGTGCCTTTTGCGGATAGACGAGAAGAGAGGAGCGAGAGAGCGTGAGGTCTGTGTGTGTGCATGTGGAGAGTCAGCTGGAGAGGCTGAACGACCGACTTGCTTCACGGCGGGTCGACCGGTGCCATGTACGTCGCGACACGTTCTTTCGCACGACGTGTGACTCACTCGCCTTTGCACGCACAGTTGTGGTCGTTGAACGCGAGATCGGCTGGACCAGCTGGGCAGCCAGCGCGCCTCACGAGGCCCCGCTTTGCGTCTCATTTCGCGTGGCAAGCGACGATTTGCTCCTTTTCTCGCTCGCTCGCTCTTGTGCGCACGTCCGCAAGGGCGGAACACTACACGCACACACTTGCGCGGCTATCTACGCATCGCTCGATGCGACTTTTTTGCCGCCGTGACAGCCGATGGCGTCAACAGAGTGGGCGTCAACAACAGATGAGGGACGACGGAAGTCTGATCCCGTGGCTCTCCATGCAAAGAAGGGAGCGGCGGTTGGGCCATGTGGCACATTGGTGAGCGTGTAGAACATTGAGCTCTCGGCTCACTACAGCAGGTGGCGCTCGTTGCAACGACGAGTCGGCTGAGCAAACAAACGCACGCGTTGGCAACCGACTGACATCGTTCGGTGCGATCGTCGGACCTCCTGGCAACAGGTGGACGGCCAAGCGCCGCGGATTGCTGGCCACGAAGCAGCAGAACAGGTCAGACGATTTGCACGTCAACGGGTGGCAAGTGCATGTCGTGACTCGTCTTGGCACTTCGGCCGCGACGTAATTGTGGAAAGAACGTGCACGAACGAACGTGGCTGAGCTGTACGCGTGTTCAGGAGAGACTTTGGCACTCTGCCTGCACGTTGAGACAGGATGGAGTAGTGCTATGCTGGACAGCAACGGGGTGGGGGTGATCTTCAGCACACTCTGCTATCAGCCACAAGCCGAATGAACACTCAACAACTGATGTGGATGTTGTGTGAAATGATCAGGAGACATGATCGGCTGCTGCCAATGCTGCGAGCGCTGGAGCCTCGTCAGCGAACAGTGCCCACACTCTGAAGCCGCTTGTCTAGTGCATGTTGCAGATGCAAAAGACAGCAACGACCGACGCACCAGACAACTACTTCTCCCACCCACCGGTAGGTCTGATGGATGTACATCAGTGGCGTAGTCGTGACAGTATGCAATAGAAAGACACAAATGGGCCGTCATGCGCAGTCGACAGACTCGTACGGCACGTTCCCAGCGTTCGGTTCTCAATGGCACTTGCGTGCAAGTCATAGCACTACAGCATACGAGGCCGAGCTATGTGGCCATACGGCGATGCAGGTCGTCTTTGACTTTCAGCGGGTACTTATAGTAGAAAACAGACCGACATATACACCACTCAACCGCGAAACATGCAAACTGTCGGCGAACTCGTGCGGTGTCACTGGAAAATGTTTAGCTGTCGATCGGCGGAGGAGCGCAAAGGAGCGAGCGACGCGCAGAAGAGGTCCAAAAGGTATGTCGTACGTACACACGAGTCACAATCCGACACGAAGCTCGACGGGAAAACGCGGCGCACATCGTCTCAATGGCTGTGATACATGAGGTGCTTCGCTCAAGCGCTGTCGGTGCTTCGCTCCAGTCCCATTTCGACTGCAACTCGAGCAACAGCCGCAACTTTTGGCTTCGCAAGATCTGTGTGCGCGTCGTCGTTCACTGACGCGTCAGTTGCTTTTCCATGTGAACTACATGACAATTACATTGGAAATGGTGAGGAACATCCTGCCGACTGTTTTACCGACCAACAGAACGTGAGAACGAGCTCAGTACGGGCGCGACCACCAGTTTCTGTCGTCCTTGAACTGACATTGGGCATATTCTGCGTCTCGTTCAGCAGTGTGTGCAGCACATAAAATGAGAACGTCGTGCTTATCATATTCAAACACCGTTCTATAAGCGGGTATAAAAGAATGCACCATGAGATGAGAAACGAAAAAAGTGCACACTCGATGTGTACTATACGTTCGACCATACACATGCTTAACATCACATCGACAGCCATCGAAGTGTTGTTCATATTCGTACAAATGTCGTGGCAATTCGAAAGCGATGGGGCGTTCCTGGCGCTTTGATGGTGTCGGATCGGTCTTATGTATCAGTAGACCACCGAGCTTTTTTACATTGTACAAGATGTTAGCTAACTAGTATGCCTTTGCCACGGACTAGATAAACGCTACGGCGTGGACACCATTGTATCGGGTTTAAGCGGATAGACCAGACCGACGATGTCAAGAGTGCAGCGAAATGAAGCGTCGATACTTACATTCCACAATGCTACAAGTTCGATGTGTGCCGAAAGCACTGACGTATCCACGCTTGTATGCACTATGTCCTCGTGTCGAGACAGCATATATATCTATCCTCACAGCAGCATCGAGACATCATTCTCTAGGTCATCGCCAACATCACTTCCGTCATTACCATCTTCTGTCGTGACAACCGTACCACTACGTCAGCATCGTGTGCTGCAATTGAGGGCGACATACTTTGTGTAACGGGGTCACACGTCGACTGGTAGTCGACAATAGGTGTGGTGCACACAAGGGATGGGACCCCCTCTGTAGGGATATTCGAACACAGTTTCAATTGTTGAAGACTGATGTCTGCCAACCATTGATTACGAGATCTTTTGAGAGGTTTATTTAGGACATTAGCGAGTAGGGTAATCACGTTGTTCTAAGGTGTTCTTTTGGGTTAAACGAAGAAATAAAGTTCAGTTCCCATTTTGATCCGATAGACACGCGACTCTTTGAGGCGTCTTGTGATCGTTGAGGAGATAGCAACGCCTTGTTAAGGTAGCTACTCCTTGTGCACTCTGTGCGTTAATTCTTTTAAATCGTTTGGTCCCCCTGGAACAGGGACCGTAAGCTCTCTATGCTTGTTGACTCTTTGAGTCGGGTCCTTTGAACTAAACCTTAGCTCTCTGAGCTGTTGACTCTTTGAGTCGGGTTCGTAGAACCAAAGTTGATCGTTGAGCGTTAAAGACTTCCTCTGACTTATGGAGCTGTGTAGCTTCGCTACACTTGGTAGCACTTGCAGTCAATCTACGCCTGAGTCGTTACGACTGATCCTCTGTGAGGATGGAGCAATCCACACCCCTCTCTGAGCCCCAAAAGGTCGCGCTTGATAATCTGACCGCGGCAGTAGGCCCAGAGTATGCGATGATTCTAGCTGCACAAGGTACCGATGTGCTCAGTGCACGAGCCGATACCTTCATGCAGTATGAAACTGCCCTGTTAGGGCAGGTTCAAAACCAAGTAGCGTCGTCTATGCCAACACGCTACGTGGCAATGCCAGATGAAGAGGCTGAGCCTCGTTCCCTTCGGGTGGGCGTTAAACATTACTCCGGGAAGGAGGGAGAAAACCGCACCCTCTGGATCCCTGAGATAGAGATGGCCATGAGCTCTGGACTTATCTGACTTGAGTACCAGCGGGTCTCACTGGCTATCTCCAAGCTCGATGGAAGAGCTAGAGAGTGGGCTCTGACATGCGGCACGTTGGTCGACTTGGCGTTTCTTACATGGACTTTGCTCAAGTTAAACCTTTTGCGAGTTTTCTCGTCGCATAACCAGGCTTATCGCGTGCGCTCACGCTTCTTGTCTACCCGTCAGGGTAAGAATGAGCTAACGGACTATTTCCAAGAGTTGAGAACTCTGATGGCTGATATGCAGTCTGACCCTCTCCGTGAGACAGTCTTGTGACTGTCTTCATGAAAAATCTTCGCAATGGCGTTGCTAGGACTGATGTTTTTCGGATCTATTCCTCCTCTTTTAAGGAAGCTCTTAGCATTGGTCAAAATGCTGAGCACAGCTTCAAGTCGGCCAGACTTGGTTGGAATGGGTACAGCCCAAGATTTGCGAGGGCAACCTCGTGCGAGCACCTCGGCTTACTGTAATCCAGAACCGATGGATCTCAGTCATAATGACGATGAAGGTGAAGCGTAGCTTTATGTTGCTGAGCAACGACAGGAAGTGAGACGCTGTTATATGTGCGGGATCACTAAACACTTGCGTTCCACTTGACCTTTGCGTAAGCAACGACCGACTCCTATGGGTCGAAAACCCATCCCCAACCAGAAATCTGGTATGGAACGGGAAAACGTAGATACCCAGTAGGCTCGGGGCGCCCTACTGGGGTAGAACTGAGTTCTGTCACTTCTCTACGAATTAGAATGAAACAGGGCTTATGCCCACAGAGCTCTGTGCCTGCATGCACAGAGTGTGGATACAAGCCTGGCTTGTTAGTCGCCGAGGCGAAAGTTAAAGGCTTTGAGAAGCATTAGTCGATTCTAATCGACTCCAGGACATCATTCAATTATGCTTGACGTCTACCCTTTGAGGGAAGTCAACCATACGCTGAAGCGCTCAAAGCGCATGAAGGTGATTTGATCACCGTTAATTAAGCGACCGGTAGTCGCGTCACGGTGCCTAACGTTCCGTTGAACTTAGATGTGAAGTTTTTGGATTTTGACAGCATTAGAAGCTGCCTTGTCCTCGATTTGGATTCGAGATATGATCTCATCCTGCGTATGGCTTGGCTTGAACTCTATGAGTCATGACTTGATTGGAGGTCTAAGACCTTAGGCGCAACGCGCAATGTTCCTAGTGAAGTTTTGGAGAGTCATGAACC